CTCTCTCTCTCTCTCTCTCTCTCTCTCTCTCTCTCTCTTTCTCTTTCTCTTTCGCAACTTCATTCCAGCAGTTCTGTTCTGTTCTGTTTTGTATTTAATTTTCATGATATTTTTATGACCGGCTGGCTCGAAGCAAACGCATTAATTTCCTTTTGGTAGAATCACAATAAATTGAATCAATCCCCATATAAATGAGCAAAATTGATGTGAATTATGCGATATTGCGTATCGTATGACAAAGGCCGCCGTGTGGAAAATTTTGCGACGCAATTTCATTTGTGAGTCATGTTATTTAAGCCGACTGCAGGTGCATAGCTCACATTGCGTTCACTCGATTCATTCGATACTTGTGCGAATACAATTTTATCAAATGATTTAGTGGCGCATAGAAAACGACAAACCGTTATTCATATCGCTATTGCGTTCAAATTGCCTAAATTGACCGAAAACCGTTATGATTCAATGAATTTGCGCAATTGCTTGATTATATTTGTTCGCTTGTGCATTTGTCGATGGAATAAAATTTGAATAAAAAAAACAAACTTTCTATTTAATATTGAGAGCACCGAACACGTAAAATTAACCCGATGACAATAGCATTTTTTTCAGAGGTTATTCTACATTCATTTCCACTTTCGTATCACATTGAGAACCAGGGTGAATAATTAAGCAAATCGCATTTATATAAAACAGTTTTTATTTGATTGAAAAAATAAACGTATGGCAAAATGAACAAGACTATCTAAGTGAGTTGATTACATTACTAACACAAATTTGACGTTGATTTAAAGCAATACGTAAAACAGGTTCAGTTTGTTGATAGAGAATAAAGTGTTTCAGTTATTTTTGTTTGCGGTTTTGTCTCGGCATACAATCACAAGTAATTTGATTTTGGGATCTGATTACAAAATGATTCGAATTTGAAAATGGAATGTTCGTTAGAATTCGAGCTGAAAATAAATTATCGCTGAATCATTTTGTCGCCAAAATGAAGCGCAATTTCAATCACCCCCATCGCACATTTTGTGAGTTTCAATTAGGTTATATCAGTCTAGTGTTGTTGTATTTCATTTCAATCGAAGTGATGTTTATGTGCGCGGTCACATTCGCTTGTTGTTTATTGGCGACTATGTTTGGTTTTATTTTTCTGTCGCCCAATCTAATCAATTTCCACCGAACGGTGACTTGAAATCTACTTTGACTCTTTCACAAATAATTGTATTGATTTCAATTACATCCAAAGCGAATGATTGCAATTGAACGTCGTAAAAATGACATATGAACGAGTGGAAGATGTGACGATAACGACGACGACGATGGCAACGATGTTCGATCAAATTATCTCGAACAGAATATAAAATGCACTTGTTGTCGGAGGTTCGATTTACATATAATCATTTGCATTAATAACTTATTCAACGAGTATGTATGCTTCAACAATGTTGAGTCAACATTCATCCATTGAACTTTGGATATGCCGATCTGACGATGATGCGTCAGGCTTGTGTTCGTTCATATATTTATTGGATTGTCAGTGTCTGTGCGTCGACAATTCTTCTCATTTTTTTTTTCTTGCTTCCATTAGAGACGTGTTTATTTTTAATAAAGCAAATATTCTATTTCCTTTATAACACATGGCGCGTTAAATAAATACATACCGTATAAATAACTTTCAATTCTTTGCATTGTTTTTCAACGTATTTCAAGTGGATTTTGAATTGAAAAAAAAAGAAGATTAATATGGCGCACATAAAAAAAATATCGAAATCAACATTGTTAAGAAATAAATTTTTTGCTGTCTTTTATCTATGAAATTGTGTCACGAGCAATGAACACAAACAAATTCATCAAGTACTTTATTTTCGTTCGCTTTTCTACTTGAGACAATCTTTTCGATTCCTATCTGTAATGCCATCTATCTGCCGTTGTTTGTCTGCCCATCCGTTATTATTGCATGTTTGCAATTAGCAATTGAAGCGTTCTTAAATGCTGCGCAAATCAAAAGTTATCACATCTTTCAGTGCCTATTGTCTTGTTGACCAAAATCAAAGTAGCAATTTTGACGAACCGAAAATGGCAAACGTCTATTCAATGGATATTAACAAACCCATTGTCTTTCACCCTAAATATTCAAGAACCAAATTGATTAGTTGCACAACTGATTCTGAACCAATTGTCATCGATTCTAATGTTAATCTGGTCAAAAATGCCCACATCATTTACGTTCCTCCTTCCAGTCCATAGAGTTTATTATAGCGTCATGCTGTATATTTTATTTAATTAAATATCAAATGTGGGCAAATACCAACCGCAAAACCATGCACACATATAGTTTGGTCATGCACGAGTCCCTTGACCAACACAGCGATAGATATGCTCTTTAAATCTGTCATTTGAATGCATTGCAGTGAATGTGGTTCATTAGGTTGTCAGAACCATTTCTATGTTATTGATAGTTTGCCCCATTGTTTTCGCCAATTGGTCAAAAGGCAACATCACAATGCAGTTCCGTGAATGTAAATCGAGTAATATATAAAAAAAAAATTGTTCTCAGGATGTTTTTCCCCACCCGGATCTCATAGATCATATGACACAGTTTTCAACGAAAATTTGCAATCAAAAGAAACATTTCAATATCGATGGAAAGAATCGAGTATTTCGACGTAAAAAGAAAATCATTTGGTTCTTAGGAAATTCTGGCGACATATAGTTGTCGTCGCCTAGAATACCGGCTAAGTAAACAATACGGTTCGTATACAGCTCAACGCTCTGTTGCGTTTTGTGATCGACTCTTCGAAACGTAATGTAGTAATATTGTGTTAATTATTTGATATGCCTACATCTTATCGCTACGTTCAATTTTAACGTAAACAGCGCGCATTTCGGGAGATATTCAACACTTATCAAGAAAAACGTTTTAATTTTCTTTCTTGGGACTCCGTTGACTATATTTTGATAAAGTTTCCGGTTCATATCAACATAACAAAAAAAAAACGTTTTCTGATTAGAAGGAAAAAGCACGGATTATATGAATAGTTTGGAGCGAAAATGTTATACCGAAAAATTGAGTGGAAAAATGTTAAATGAAAAGAGATAGCTATATAGTTCACTAAAGTTTACTATATAGCTACCCGTGTGCAAATAAAATGACTAACAGTCACTCAGTTGTATGTAACTATATGTAGTGATACACAACTAAAACTGCTAAGCTGATTGAAATCATGCGTTTTATATGGAGATAATCACGTTTAGTTATTCTTTCAGTCAGTCGACCAATTTGGGACATTTTGACTAAGAGTGATTTGTGATTGAAGTCAACTGCAGTTGCTTATTTTGATCGAGACAATCACTTTTAGTCAGTCAAAATGTCCCAAATCAATCGACTGACTAGTCAGCCAAAAATTTTCCACACGGGTATCCATTTTCCGCTCATTCATCATCGACATTTTTCCGCTCAACCTTTCTTCATACCATTTTTGCTCCAAACTACTCATATATACAGGATTTTTTGTTTGCAAACATATGCATAATTGAATCGAAGCAAAGATAGAAGTAGAAAACAATTCTTGGAAACGGAAAGTAAATCAAAACAATAAACATCAGCCATAATTTCGCAGTAAATCTAAGTTGAATGTCTGATTTAAAAAAAATGGCACTTCACAAATGCCGCCGAATCGTCTTGTCTGTTACAGAGAAATTTGATTAACCCATTGCTTGGCCTAATTAGTCCATTGGTCGTTTTATTCATTGCACTAAAATGGATTTTCTTATCTATGATTCCAGTGAACTATGAAAAATAAAACATAGGAAAAAAGCGACATTGTCAGCGAAAAAAATGCAACAATGCCTTGAAAACAAGTTGAAATACTCAAAGTCCGGATCAAAAAAAAAAAAACCGCATTGTGTAGTTAGTGGTCATATGACTGGAGATTTCGTTTTCGTGACAGCGACATGTATATCAGCACTTGTGCGAGTGATAAAAAGCAGCTCACAATTCGTTATCAGTTCTGGAATAAAAAAAAAAACAAAGAGTCAATTCGCGAACAAATTTATATTGTTCCCGGCTTCAACTGATAAAATCTACGCGACAAAATGGTTTTATCGTTCTAAAGTTCAACGATGGAAAGCAACACGAACTGGCACGATACAGACTTGCGTGAATGTTCGTTTATCTTGAGTGGAAAATCCGTAAAATTGATTTCCTGACACTGAATATTATTCAGTGGATACGATGGCCGACCATGTTTATGTTGTTTTTATTTCTGTATTTTTTATTTACATTAGATAGCCTCTGATGAAGTCCGTTAACAAGATAAATGTTTATTTTTCTCTTTCTCTATTATTAAGTTGAATCAACTGAATGACTCACATGCTCAATTGATGGTACACTGGCTGGGTGAAGGTACCAATGTGATGCTTTGCTTGGCCCGTGAGCCACCACCAGGACCAATGGAAGACATAAAATCCAACACGATCCCATCATCCGTTTACATTTCCTACAACAATGGTAATACATTCGAGGATAAAACGTATCTGTTCCAAATCAACGACACCAACAACAAACTCATCAATTCAACAGTGGATCAGTTTACAACGCATCCCATGTATAATACGGTAAGTTCAAGAGCGATTCATACAATTTTAAGTGCATCAATTTGGTTCAATTTAACGATACACAGAGTAGAACTCCGTTTTCAGTTTTGAGTGCAATGTGGCAGTAATACATTCAGATTTATTTAGAAAGAAGAAGAAGAAGAAGGAGAAAAATATCTGTTTTTAACGAAACAAAGTGATCATCTGTTTGAATAAGCAATTTAAGTGGGAATGAAACACATTTATTCCGTATTGTACCAGACTCGGAGCACGAAAGTTGTTCGAAATAAAATATTTGCCAAACATAGGAGAATGTCGATTCCAAATGATATATTATACACCGGAATAACGTCATGAGTTGACTCAATTTTAAAATGTCACATTTTTTTAGGATTATCAAAAATGATGGAAACTAGATTTCTCTATATTTTACTTCTACCTGAATTTTCAAAAATACTGGAAATATTATTTATATAGTATTTCAAGAGCTCTAACCGATGATGTATTTTATTTAATCAAAAAAATTATTTCCACTGATTTTTTTTTGCGTCAGCGTTTTTGATTAGAACAACAAAAACAGCGGATAAGATATTCTAATAAAAAACGCTGACTTGAAGATAATATTTCACGAGATTTCCAAAATTGGAGAGAAACAAGTTTGGGCTGATTAGATTAAAGGATATTGAACTAAGTATGGACGATTTAGTCAAGAAAAAATGTCTATATAATAATGACGTTTGAATGCGTTTAGAATAAATTAGGAGAACGACGTAAACATAACGTTACACGTTATTTTTTGGCGCAAAATACATTTTTAGTGATAAAATCCCATTTTAATTCAAATGTCCTCATTTTGTAAAAGCATTTGGCCACCTTATCGATAAATTAAAATAAATGGTTGAAATTTTCCGTTTATTCTTTTGTAAAAAGAGACAATGTGTTTGTCTGGCGAAATATTTGCAATTGTTTGTCATTGAAAAAAAAAAGATATTAAAATGCCTGACGCCTTTTGTTTAACATTCTATTTTTAGATTGTTTTCACCGATCCAAAGCACAAGGCGATATTCACAAATGCCGACTTTGGACGAACGATTAAAAAACATATGGTGAATTTTACCCCATCCGAAGTGTCATTCTACGAACATGATTCACGTACATTCCTGGTGTTGGACAAAACCGATCGAACGGTAAGTTGAGCCGACCTTAAATTAAATCAATCATAACGAATCACACACATAATCTAATATGTTGACTGCATTTTCGTTCCAGTTGTACTATACCGTTGATTTTGGTGAGACATTCACAATGCTGCAGTCATTCGTGAAATCGTTTTCATGGTCATCGTCCGGTGACGCAAACATGCCCGTTCACTTATATGTAGAGCGCAAAGATCCATCCAGTAATTATAAACGCATCTATGCTATTCGAATCCACTTGAAATTAATCGAGATTTTTTTTTATTGCATTCTTCTGTTTTAGATTCATCATCGATCATTTTCATGAATGCTGCACTATTGCTGATAGACGAACCGAAAAAATTCAATTTGCTCATTGAAAATGTACAAGATTTTCACATAAAAAAGGATTTTATGTTTGCCACACGCAAAGTACCAAACAATACACAATTGTTCATTTCCTATCGACGCGGAACGTTTGTCAAAGCCGACTTCCAAACTGAGCTCGAAATTAAGGTAAGTCACAATTTGCTAAACTTAGTTCGCAATTTAGTTTTAAATGGGTTCTTCTGATCTCTGCCAACAATCGATTAATAATATTTATAAAACTTTTATCGCCTTATTGTTTTCATTTGAACTCGTAATAAATCAAATACAAGACATCCGATGTTTTGTCTTTGCATATTACTTCTTTCTGACAATGTTTATCGCGTTTGATACGCTCAATTCGAACCTTTTGAAAACATTAAATATTATAGTAACAACATATGAACACTCTTTATTCTCGCAACAGGGCTTTCATATTGCCGATGTAGAAGGAAGACGTGTCATGATCTCAGCAGTTCACACCGACATCACAGCTCATCTATATGTGTCCGAATCCGATGACAAAATGAAGAAAATCCGATTTGTACCAAGTGTGGAGCAGATTTTCTCATATATTCCTGAATTGACATGGAAAAACAGTTGGTTGTCGTAAGTTTTACAAAAATAAAAAAAAACACACACACAGTGAATCTGTGAGACTGACGTTTTTCTATCAAAATTCTACAGACAAACATCTGACGAAGCATTCACCGATTTATACAAAGTTGAAGGAATTCGTGGCATATACATCGCATCGAAAATCATTAATCCTCCAGTTTTAAAGCCATCGGCCATGGTTGGCCCTGAAAACTTGGGATCTGTGATTACATTCGATCATGGTATGAGCTGGCGACCAATTCAAGCACCAACTGTGGACAACGAAGGTCAACCGATCAACTGCACGAAATGCAGTCTCCACTTGTCACAAAAGTTCAGTCAGCTTTACCCAGTGACGCGTTCCGTAACGATTATGAGCTCAAAAACAGCGCCAGGTGTAATTATGGCAACAGGTGTCATCGGAAAGAATCTCAAAGGCCATCCGTGTGTGTTTATCTCGCGTGATGCTGGCCAAACATGGACACAAATCTTGCGAAATTATTACTTCTTCAACTATGGCGATCATGGTGGCATTCTGGTTGCCGTGAAGTATTTCAAATCGAAAGGCGAAACAAATGAAATCTTGTACTCGACGGATGAAGGTGAAACATGGATTCCACATGAATTCCACGGGAAAAATTTGAAAGTGTATGGCCTAATGACCGAACCGAATGCCAACTCCACCGAGTTTACATTGTTTGGTTCGGAGCCGGATGAACACAAATGGATCATTTTGAAGATAGATTTGCGAAATGCATTCACATCGAATTGCACACAGGACGATTACAAATTCTGGTCACCAGGTTCGTTTGATGGTGAATCCCTTGTTCCGTGCATCTTGGGAAAACAAGAAACCTACCATCGTCGTGCAGCTCATGCGAAATGCTACAACGGCCATGATTACAGTCGACCAAATCGAACGGAAATTTGCAAGTGCAGCTCATGGGATTTCGAATGTGATTATGGATTCTCCCGATTAAACGCCAACTCACCGTGCATACGCAATCGTACCGTTGTTTCCGAAGATATTTACAAACTTCCAGGCACATGCAAACCAGGCGAATTTTATATGCGAACAAAGGGCTATCGGAAAATCGAAGGTGATGTTTGTGTTGATGGATTCATTGATCAGTATCTGCCACAGAGAATTCCGTGTCCAATTGCACCCGAGGACGATTTTCTCGTCGTGGCTCAACGTGACAAAATCGCACGGATTTCATTATTAAGTGGTAAAAAAGAGGTGCTACCAGTTGTTGGCTTAAAGAATGTCATTGCCATTGAGTTTGATTTGAAGAATAACTGCGTGTTCTGGGCCGATATTCAAACCGATGAAATCGGCAGACAATGCTTAAATGGAAATCGATCGGTTGAAATTTTAGCGGAATCTGGTTTGTCATCAGTGGAGGGCATGTCTTACGATTGGATCTCTGAATTGTTGTTCTTCGTCGATGGAACACGCTTCAAGATTGAAGCTTTGAGCACATCACTGTCGAAGCCTCGCATTCGTAAGACGATTATCGATAAATTACCGAAGCCAAGAGGTATTGTTGTGCATCCAATGGCTGGTTTCTTGTTCTGGACCGATTGGAGCTTCAACAATCCATCGATTAGCCGAGCCAATTTGGATGGAAGCAACTTCAAAACACTCTTCACCAAACGCGATGTGGTCTGGCCAAATGGAATCACCATTGATTTTTCAGCCGAGCGAGTTTATTGGGTTGACGCTAGCCTCGATTACATTGGCAGCTGTGATTTGAACGGATTGTTATTCACTAAAGTAGTGAAAGATGACTCACGCGCTTCGCATCCATTTGCCGTGGCTGTGTACAAGCATTTGATGTACTGGGACGATTGGAAGATTAACGCTATCTTTTCAGCGGACAAAGGTAAAACATTTCGGCTTGATTTTGAATCATGAATTTAATGTGAATTTCATTCAATGTTATTTTCATTCTAGATCTTGGCATTCAAATTCGTGCAATTGCCGAAAATATGACCAGCTTAATGGACATCAAGGTTTTCGGTCATGCTGTTCAAACCGGTACAAATGCTTGTGGCAAACCGAATAAGTGCTCACACATGTGCGTTGGAGCTCCGATGAATAATTTCGCATGCTTGTGCCCAGATGGTATGACCATGTCATCGACTGGCGAATGCTTGTGTCCCGGATTTTTACAACCACAAGGCAACAAAACTTGTCCACAACTGTCAAACACCTGCGCACCAGGATTCTTTACATGCTCCAACAAATTATGCATTCCAAATATTTATCGATGTGATGGAGATGATGGTGAGTCTTTTGCGTATTTCCAAATTTTTGGCTTATATCAGATCAGTAAGCAAAAAAAAATCTAAATGTCCTTATTCCGATAATCTAGACTGTGGCGACAATTCTGACGAATTAACCTGTCCATCATCCAAAAACCCCTGCTTGCCGCACATGTTCCAATGTAAATCTGATAGCAAATGCATTCCAGAATACTTTCAATGTGATCATGACAATGGTAAGTGAGCATCATCAGCATGCATCAAATCATATTCTAATCTCATTTGAGTAAAAATCCATTGAATATTCAAAATGGTTTTCTATTTGTGTTAACAGATTGTCAGGATGGAAGTGATGAAGCTGCATGCTCGTTCATTGCATGCAAACCAGAAGAATTCAAGTGTAGTAATGGCCGTTGTATCAACAGCATTTGGCATTGCGGTAAGATAAATACATTTTCAATTAATTTTTGGGCATTAAAAGAAACATTCCGTTTGTTTTCAAAAAAACCGCAAAAAAAAGATGGAGAAGACGATTGTCAAGATGGATCAGATGAGAGAAATTGTACAAGAACCACATCGATCACATGCAAACCTGATGAATTTACATGTAAAACATCCCATCAATGCATCCCATCATCGTGGCTCTGCGACAATGAACACGTAAGTTTAAGAAATACGAAAGAATCGAATTTTCGTACTAACTAGTTGAATGAATTGCTTATAGGATTGTACCGATGGAAGTGACGAAGAAAATTGTGAAAATAAGGAGTGTGAACCATGGATGTTTTCATGTGGTGATGGCCGATGCATTTATTCAACATGGAAATGTGGTATGTGTAAAATTAAGTTCGAATCTTTTATATATAAATCATTGAATCCAAGTGCAAAATCAATGAATCCACTTCAAAATTCCCATAGACGGAGATCGTGATTGCATGAATGGAAACGACGAAGCCAATTGCACTGTACCAACATCAACCGAATCGAATCACAAAACCGATAACATAATGCCAACGTGCCATGATTGGATGTTCCAGTGCAACAACGACCGCTGTGTGCCGCACTGGTGGAAGGTAAATTGAAGAAGAAAAAACACAACAGACTACGATGAAGAATACTCTACAACAAAAACAACTAAACGTTGATTTTTTTTTCTTAGTGTGATGGTGTAAACGATTGTGGTGATAGTTCTGATGAGCTTGGCTGTACAACAAACACGACCACACCACCAAGCGTAGGTTCAATTGATGAGCCCGTCGACACAGATATTTGTCTGAAAAATCAATTTGCCTGCGACAACGGGCGCTGCATTTCAAAATCGTACGTTTGCGATGGATTCAACGATTGCACTAATGGCGAGGATGAAGTTAATTGCCCGAAATCGGTTTGTGGCAAAGATAAGTTCAGATGCCGCAGTGATGGTGTTTGTTTGGACCGAACTAAATACTGTGATGGTAAGTTGATGTCCAACATTTGTTGCACTGAAAAATGATTTTGGTGAACATATTTTGAGCGAGAAATGATGAACAGTATTTTTCTTTGTTCGGACATTTTCATTCGACTTCACCCTTCGTTTCTTTACAGGCAGGATTCATTGTATTGACGGAAGTGACGAGGAAAGTTGCAAACAACCACCAAAGATGTAAGTTTTTTTTTTTCAACAACGTAAATAGGTGTTCTGTCAAAGGTTTTCTTATCGTTTTTTTTTTTTTAATTTCTAGAAACGAAAAGAATGAAACAATTACATGTCGTCCGGGTTACTTCATGTGTGACAACATTTGTCTGCCACAATCCAAATTATGTGATGGAAAGGTCGATTGTTTTGCCTATGATGATGAAGCCAATTGCAATGGTAAGTAGTTTATTTCAAGCGAAACTTATGCGCAAGTTTTTTTTTTGGATTCACTCTGAAGTAACATATCCGACGTATTTGATTGGATTTGTTATAGGAACATCAAACCGTTTCTACCAAGTGAGCTTTCTATTCCCATACAAACGAACCATGACCGCAACCAGCTTCTTGATCTTCTGGTACATGCCAACCAATGGCGGTGAAAGTCAAAACTTTGAATATCTTCCATCAATCTCTTTGGCCAACGAGGATAATTGGTCGAATCATAGTGCATGGATTGAAAACACACAACATCGCTTTGAGAATTTGACACCATACACCATGTATAATGTAACGGTTTATGTACGACTCAAGAATAGCAATCGTATTGATGCACCGTATCTGTATATCAATGTCACAACGCAAGAGGGCACACCAACTCAACCACTGAATGTGAATGTAACCCAATTGAATTCGTCACGTGTGCAAATCTCATGGGAGCCACCAAAAGATGCATATGGAGTCCTGAAGGAATACACCGTTTACTATCGAGCAGCAACAATCAATGTAAACTCGGCACACTCGGTGAAGGTGAGTCCGAATGAACATTCGATTGTTCTGGAATCAAACTTTGAACCAAACACTACGTACGAGTATTGGGTGCGTGCACGAAACTCCAAGAATGAGTCGCCAAGTTCGAAATTGGTACGACTAACTTTTGACACCGCTTCTGATATGGATCGTTTGACTGGTTTGCATGTAACACACATTGGTCCAGATTACATTCAAGTTGAATGGAATGAAGTTAAAGGCGTTGATGGCTATTCGATACAAACCATATTACCGCAAACCTATCCAAAGCTCAAGCCAAACCAAACCCAAGAAACAAAGTTCCGAGTAGCGAATTTGGTGCAAGGAGCGAACATAAACATCAAAGTGTCCGGTTTTAAGAAAAACTTCTTCGGTCGACCAGCATCGATTTCAAGTGTTTTGCCTGGCAGCCCATTGCCCCAAATTTCATCGGTAAACGTGACAGATGTCAACGGGGTTCCAGAATGTTTATGGAGCGAACCAACGGGAGTGCCATTCAAAAATATCACATATGGCATTTATTATGGTGTCACAGTCGATGAACTGTACGAAGAAGCAAAGCAAACGACTCAAGCATTAAAAGCAACGCTCAAAAATCTGATGCCATGCGAGTCTTATCTGGTGAGTGTGGGAATTGTTGCACCAGTCGGACCCGGGCCATTATCCTCACCAAAGACATACCAAACGAAATATAATGAACTGAAACCACCACGTAATGTTAAAGCCACAATGATTACGGACAAACATGAGATTGAACTCACATGGGAGCACAATTGTCCGATACTTGACAAATATCCACCATCGTATCAAATCAGTTTAACGGAGCTCACTACCAATGAGACGAACGTTGTTGAAGTGATACGCAGGGGAACCAAACCCGTATCGCATAAATTCAAAGATATTCCTGATGGTGCTGTGTATAACATAAGTATTTCCACAAATGCAACCAACGCTGAACCAGTTACACTTAAGATACATGCGCCATCATTACCTCCAGTGCGTCAACTCAAAGTCTATCCGGAAAAGAATGGCACATACGTGGTGTACTGGCACGAGATCCAAGACAATAATGACAAGTAAGTGTTGATATTGATTTTGGATTTGAATTTTTGGTCTTTTTTTTTCTTACGATTTATTCAAATTGTAACTCGTAATCCATTGACATTTCAGATATGATTACGAATTGGTTGTCGTTCCTGGTTTAATCTTAAATGATTCGGTGACTCCAATTATAAAGAAAAGAGTAAAGAAGCCACCGGCGTTAATCAATATTCAGGATCTTGGTGGCAATACGGCAGCTGGCAAGATATTTACCATGGGCATTCGTTTGAGAACCCAAAAAGTACGTAATAAAATAGGACAATGTAATTATGCGCCGTTTTTATCGGACTGTATCTAATCTTAATTTCTTTACAGGGATTCTATTCGTCAGTGCACGAAATTGAACACATTGAGGTGCAACCGGAGGCATGGATATCGTTAATGTTGCCAGAAAAGTCATCCACCTGGATGGTTATCATACCAATGATGCTTGTTAGTGCAATGGGTGGTGTCATCTTCTACATGGTGCGCCGCCATCGAAGAATGTCGAATAACTTCTCACGCTTTGCCAACTCACATTACGACACCAAAACCGGAACGACGAGAATCGGAGACGATGACGATATTCACCACGATAATATCAATGATAATATCAACGATATGCCTCGCTTTGATGACGACGAACCACTCGTACTAACGTAATTTTTAAGCTAAAGACTTTGTTTTTTTTCCCTGTTTTTCATTGCCAAAAAAAAAGTAATACGCATGAGAAAGTGAGAAACATTTTAATGAAAGACGATGATGGCGTTGTGTTTCCAAATGTGAAATTGTAGATAATTTTTTTATTTATACATTTATATTAAGTAGCAAATAACGGAATCATATGTGAGATTGTCTGCGGGTTCATTTAAGATGAACTTATTTTTCGTTTGAATTGCCGTGCAGAAATAAAATGAGACAATTGCAATTTGCGGACACAATAAAGGCTGAACGTGGTTTGAACCATGGATAAAACTTTAAAGAAAAGAAGAAAAAAAACATTGCATATGCATATGAATAACGAGTGATCGCACACACATTTATGTAAAGACAAACAGCTGAACGATAAAAAAAAGTATTGCATTCATTTTTACAACTTCAAAACCAACAAGATTAATAATAAATATTTTGACTGAAACAAAAATGAACACAATTGGAGAATTACTTTTATTTCACAGTTCTAAGAGAAAAAATAGGAAGGTGAGTTAGTTTGCGTTGGAATGGTAGATTATTAGTATTGGATCAAAATGAAGGATTGCTTGTGTTTTTTTTCTCCATCTTCCAATTACTATGGAGGTATACCAGCACCACCGCATAGAGGAGTCATACTAATTTCGCCAAAAACTTCGTACTTGGCAATTCCTTGAGCCAATTGTTTGACTACCTGCACGATGATTGACCGCATATTTCATGCAGTTTTGGTCTAAAACAATGATAAAAGAAATCTACATACACGATCCGGATGGAGTTTTACTATCAGATTCGCTTGGACTCATTGTTGAGTACTATGAAAAAGTGCTGATTCCATTTTGTACATATTGTTATTTAATTGATGCGAAGAAAACGTTTCTTGAAACTATGTTTAAAAATTCAAAGCGATTCAGCGCTTCCAATATGAAATCTAGTACGCTCATCGTCAACAAATGAAATTTGACAGAAACATAAATCATTGTCATCAGATGATTAGCTTTCTGCCTTGGGTGAAATTGAATTCGAGGTTCTCAAACTGAGAATTTCCCCGAACCGCTGTGTGAGGCCCTACAAGTCATTAGAATAGTTTCGGAGAGCAAATAAAGAGAAAAATCCAATGAAAAGGCAACCAAAACATGCTCAAATTTGTGTTATTTCTTTATTTCGCTTATTAATTCCAATGCTGATTTGTTTTGTTAATGTTTTTTTTTCTTTCAATTAGTTGATGCTTTGCAATAAGAAAATATATGAATAAACCTAAACTAAACAATCATTTCCAATTCACGGGCATAGAAAATGGCTTGTTCGACCAATTCAACTGATGGTAGCGGCTCCTTTGGCTTATGCGTTAGGCTAGCAAATGAATAAACGTTGCCAGCACCCAAAACCCAGTTCCGTTTCTTGCCAAACGAGATCACTTCCTTTTCATTCTTGAAATTTAGGCGTTTTTGCAACTCTTTCGTTGAAATCTTATCGTATGAGCTTTCCAAGCAAGCACCAATTTCGTCACGTACTGTATCCACCAGAAGGTCCATGAAAACGTTGTAGCTTTGTGATGGAACTTGACCCTGTGAACGGGCAAAATTGAATGATAAATACGAGAAATGATCCCAAAAATGAGGATGAAATGTTCAAACGGTAAGTTTTTGTGTCGTTTTTACCTTGGCTCTGAAAATTTTGTTGTAGCTCCCTTCCATGAAATACTGTTCCATTGCCAATGGGTGACGAATAAATTCGTTTGTTTGGATGATCTCTTGCGGCAGCAATTCCAATTCGGTGTGAAATTCGGACACTCGATTCTGAGACAAAAGGAACAGTAGATTCAAACCAAGCAATTGATACTTGTTCGCCGATTCACCAATCTCAGTCCTGCCATGAAACAATAGATTAATCATTAGGAAGCCGCTGTTAAAGAGACATAGAAAATCGCACACAATCAAAACGTACTTGTAATCAAAATAATAGCATTTTAGCTGAGCCATATAGCGTTCGAAGGCTGTCACATCTTTAGTGGCCACACTAAATTGAACAGCAATTTCAAGAACATCTCGTGCAACCAACAATTCCTTCTTCGATACCCCCGATTCACCAGTTGGTAGAAAAACTAGCTTAGTCAGCGCAACCTATTTGAGGTTAGGTATACAAATCAGTTCAATTGAATATAAAAAAAACAAAGTTAATTTCGATTTTCACACTTATTCAATCGTTTACCTTCAATTGATCCAATAATGAGCCGCATTTTCTTAAATTTGGTGCGGATTTATCCCATTCGGTTTTAAGGTCTTTGTATAGAGCTGTGACTGAATCCATTTTTGCTGATTTCACTGCGATGACTTTTCTTGATTTGTTGTTTATTGTTGACTGTGTAGCAGTTCAATGGACAGTGTTCGACCGGCAGCGCCACCTCGCTCAAACAAGTAACAGTGAACGCAATTACCACTGCACTAATCGATTCTCAAACGTATTTTGTGCAAACGAAATCTTGACAGCTTCAGTCAATAACACCGAAACGTAAAACAAACACAACACAAAACTCTGTGTTTGAGAGTAAATCGAATTTGAGATTTTTTCGATTCGCGAAATTTTTATTTCTCAATAAATTGTTTTATAAAAATTCAATGAAAATTGATTGTGAATCATAATATTGTATTTGGCGTGTGAAAATATTGAAAATTCTGCAGTAAAATTTCATGCATAGCAAGCGAATAAATTTAAATCCCAAGTTTGTTTATAGTTTCATTTACGTTGGTTGATACGTTCAGAAAGTGTTGCATCTCGTTTCCACTTTTATCTCCGAACATAAAACGAACATTGTCTGTGTGGTGAGTAAAAATGGCGAATACGCTGCCCGTACTAAGTTCGTTTCGGGTTGTTGTTTCTGCTGTAAATTACTGTTCGAAATCGAAATAATGTCAAACTGAGAAATTGCTACAATATTATTGTCTTCGTTCATCAAAGTGGCCGTAAAAAAAGTCATCAACATATTTCAATCGTCTCTCAGCGTCTTTGGTGCGCGAAAAATCCATTTTTCCGACATTTTTGATGAGAAAAAAATGTTTGATGTCATCATTAGAGTACAGTTCCCTTACGAAATCGCTCTGATGGCATTATACGATACCCGAAATACGTAAAGGGGCCGCCATTTTGGATGCGTGTGTAGACTTTTGGTGGCATAATTATTTCGTATTATAAACTACTAAATTTCAACTTGAGAAAAAGTCTTGATGGCGTTCGCGTTGCTTTTCACAAAATATTACCCATTTTTCGCAGTATAATTATAATTATTTTCATAAAATTCCATTAAAATCCATCGTTTTTTTACGGGAAAAATTCGATTTTGGAACATTGAGCCAAAGTGAGTGTGTGAAAATTGAATTTCGTGTGGTTTTCCGTATTTTCAAAGCAATTTCAATGGCATAGTTATCAATAGCGCGGGAACTTATTGTACCGAGCGAAAACGACATAAATATATATACACAACAATAGCTATTTATATGCACATCTTTTGTAGACCAAACACGAAAAAAATCAACTCAAAACAAATCGCAACAATCGAATACATATCAAATAGAAGTAGCCGTCGCAAGTTTTCTAAGCGCGCATAATAAGACGACAAAAAAAAAACCGATTCGGTAGTGCACAAAAACGACGACCAAAATATACCATAGCTGAATAACACACAGAGTCACCTCAATTTTGTGTATATAGTTTCGTTTTCGATTTGACATTTCATCAATCAAAAAAAAAAAATGAGCCGTTCAAGATGAAGTCGAAATCAAGAAGAAGAGGCAAAACAAAAACAAACAACGAACAGCACAGCGATGCAAATGATAATTTAGATTTAGACGATAAGTTGTTGTTAAAATACCAAATTAAACATTGTTCTGTTAAATTGACTCCCATAAATATAGAACAAAGTGCAATGGACGAAACGTCACCGACACCACCACCAGTCGCACCAAAGCGAAGAGGTCGCAAACCGAAAAATCCATTGGCGGGAAAAGCCAATGCAGCCACACCAGCAAAAACTGAAGCGTCGGACGGCACCAAGGCCGACGATAAAAACAATGAGACAAACCCAAATGAAAGCATCGAAAAGGCGGACAAGCCAGAGAAATTGTCGTTGAGCGAAAGAAAACAAGCGAAAAAGGCTCAAATTGAAGCAATCATTGCTAGCGGTGGTCGCGGTAAACGTACACCAAAACCGAATCCAAAGTATATGGATGAGCCCGTGGTAAGTGCGAGCAAACATGGAAAAGATGATGAACTGGATCATATTGAAGGAGGTGAAGATGGCGATGACGAAATGAATCTGTCGTCCGATGATTTACCACGCAATGAGGGGCCTTTGAAAAAGCGTATGCTGCAGAAAATCGGCATGAAATCGGGACCAGGGCGAAAGCCGGGCTCAGGCAAAGGTACGCCAGGCAGAAAACCAGCCGGTTTTGTTGCAATCAAACGAAAGCTTGAAGTCGATATCGATATCGATGATGAACATGGAAAACAACTGTTTTTGGATGCTAAGCGACGCTTTCAAAACGTAAGTGTCATATTCGAATGCATCATAATGGGAATAAATATTATTTTTTCATCATTCCGTTCGACTCCATTTGTTGTATATAAAAACCAAACAATTGGTCGTTAGACAGAGTTCTATTTTTATTATGACATTTTCAGAGGTGATTTGTCAATAGTTTCTTATTTGACACTTAACCTCAAAAGCTGATTCTATTACACCTGTCAAACATTTAGATTATTAGACTCCGTTCTCTGAATACAAACAACGTAAAATTTTAATTGAAAAGGCGAAAATTAATGTCGAATTTGTTTATATTGCAATTTGTATAGTCTCCGTCAGGTAGCGAAGATGATGCACAGCTCAAAAAGAGCAAAAGTCCAATCACTGATGCACTGGCGGCTAAGTTACGTTCCAAATATCCCAATGATTTTATCATCAAGCGCACGATTGCAATGGATAGCAAAGCGAGCCCGATAAATCGCGCTCGATTAGTGCAAACCAAAATTGCAGTACAAAAGGTAAAACACTTGATTCAGTTGAAATTTGCGTGTGTTCTGTAATATTAACAAATCAACATATGTTATCTCTCAATAAAAAGGATGGTGCATTGGAGCTGAGGAAACGCAAACTGACGGAAGAAACTGAAACGTCTGAAGATGACTTTGGCAGCGGCCGTGGAACATCCGATCAAGACACATCTTCGGCGAAGAATATTAATCGTCGCAAAACACAACACACGAAAATCCTTTCCGACGACAAACTGATTCGGCCGTCTTCATCCGGAGCACCAACTACAATTATTCGCAAGCAAATCGGCAGCTCAACGGTAGTGCGGCAAATAAATAAATCTCCGCTGGCACAAAATCAGCTAATCCAAAGCAAATTACAAGGAGCCACTTCAGCAAAGACCTACTCAATATCGGCACAATCTCGTGTGATCGGTACAAACAAACCGGCCATTCTACGACAACCGCCTCGAATACTGAACTCGACTTTATGCAAGCCGACCAACAAAGTAACGGTGCCATCGCTTGTCACAAAGGTCGTTACAAAAGACGATTACGAAAATGAGCTGAACAAAAAGCGTAACAACAATATCATATCGTCACGTTCAAAGGAGAACAATGTCACATCGTACGTATACACGGAGAAAGATGGGAAAATGATACCCAAAAAACAAATTGTGCAAGCATCGCCGCAGAAATTGGTGCAGCAACGTAAAGCCGTTTTGCCCGTTGTTCGAACGCCGTCAACACAGCAGAGAATCATCAGCGAACCTGTCAGTATGAATATACCGAACAGCAGGCGAATTCGTAAGATAACATGCTTTGAGACGTGGTACGTCATTAAAATGGCCGAGGAACAACCGAAAGTGGAGAAATCGATCCTTAACCTGAGTCTGATGCAAATCGGAAACGAAATCAAGAAAATTGAGTTGCCTTCTAGTGAATGGACGTACAAAATTTTGCTGCAACCGTTGAACAAACAATTGTTGGCCTTGAGACAAACCAAAGCAATTGAAAAAGCTACTGAAAAGAAGAGTGCAGCCACTGAGGAATCGAATGAGAAAAGTGACAGCGATAGCAACACAGAGTCGAAAGGAAAGGACACAAAATCGGACGAAAAGAAAGAAGAGAGCAAAGATAACATTAAAGAGGTTTGTTTAAAATATTCGGTTGCTCTGAAATCCAAGAGAAAAATGTTGAAAATCAATACTTACTTTGTAAAATTAATCATTTCGAATTGCAGGAAAGTTCAAAAGAAGATGAATCAACCAAAACGCCGCAAGACGAACCGAAAACTGAAGACACCGAAGAATCTGCCTCCGCCGATGATGATAACGATGAAGAGAAGAAGGATGAAAAGAAAGCGGATGACAACAAAGATGAAGAGAAGCCAAAATTGAAGGCTGAGCTCAAATCTGAGGATGGCGCAGAGAACAAGTCAAGCGAATCAAGTGCCGAGGAGGAAAAAGAGCAGAAGTCTGATGTGGCAGTGAAGAAAGAAAAGGATGAAACACCAGCCAATACAAGCATTGTACACGAAGTGTACACTGGCGAAGTGCATGATCCAAACATCAATCCCGATGAGCGGCAAAACTATCGGCCGATTAACATCATGTTCCGTCGCAAGTGCCAAAATCCAAACATTCGTATTCAATTCGATCGAACGGTAATTCTGAAGAATCAAACATTCTACCTGAATGTTGATGGCAAAAACGTGCGGTTGGTTGCCTCACCACAAAAAATCGAAACGTACGAAGACATTGCAACGCTATTGCAAATCGTTAACGATATTAGTCTGAATAGTTGTTGTGTCGAGCTTGCAACACACATTGGTTAACACCAGCACAAACAGAAAAACTGTGAAGAAAATCTAAAATGTAATAACAACTACTGCTGAGTCCATTCTCGTAATGTGCCGTAGTTTTTGTTGGATCAATGGAAATCAGTAAATTGTATTTGATTTGAGAATCGAACGGTCGAAATTGAAACAGATAAACAGACAGAAACAAATGGAAACAAACTCGTTGAGCGTTCGTAACGTTCAAATTAAAAAAAAAATACTTTAATCAAACTAACTTCTTTTTTTTTCTTTGGTCGAAACAAAAATCATCGATTTCATTCTATTTTTCTTTTCTTTTCAAAAGTACACTTTCATTCTTTTTTTATTCGATTTGCAATTTCAATATTTGTTTTTTCCCTATCTAATTTTCTAAAAATTACCATCGCTCATTTGTCATCACAGAAAAACAAATCGAATCTTTGTCATAGATTTAGGGCATCTTCATTGAGAAAAAACAAATGAATAACGTGAATACCGCATGAAATTTTATTGTAGTTTATTATTATTATTTCGTTTCATTCATTTTTTTTCCATTTGAATTTAAAATTATGAATACCCAAAACTTTCAGAAGAGAAAAGTAATTAAAATCACGTGTCGGAGATCATCTCGTTGAAATCGAAGAATGTAAATGCAATTTAACAAATAATAATAATGATAATGATAATGGTAAATAAATGAATTCTAAAATCTATATATCATACATTTTTTTTTGCTCTTCTGCATAAATGCTTTAAGAACGTTCAGTTATTATTTTCAAGAGAATCATTTAACGGAGAAATTTAGTTTTTAAAACCTGGCAAATAGAGAATAAGTTCAATTTTATTAGCTAATTTAAGAGACGTATGAATTGAAACTATATTATAAAAGTTTTGACAGTAAAAAAAAAATCAACCAAACCGATTTTCTTTTCTTTTGTTTATATAAACTTTGCGAGGAAAATGACATCTGTACCAGATGTGGGCGACGGGAGTGGCTTTTTGACTGCTTTTCCTTTCCATATTGATACATGCAATTGCTATAAATAATTGCTACTCTGTTGACAGATAGAAAACATGCCGGGTAAGTCTTACCTTTACATCGCTTTACGTTCACGAGAAACGTAGGTAAGTGATTCTCTTAGTCACCCAAAGAGTAACCTGTTCTAGAATGATTGGCTTTGAAAGGATATCCTGGGTTTTTATTTTGTGTTAGAATACCCTTTGAAGCCGCATTTTCTTCAAATAAAAGACGAATTCGTTTTCATTTTATAATATTCTTTGATAAATCATAATTTATTTTCGGATTTGATTTTTTTTTCATTTTATTTTCATTACACTCAGAACATACATATATTAATCGACATTCTTTTCTTTCAGTTTAATGCTTGGCATTATTTTCCACAATTGATCTGACGATATTCAAACCTTTAAATTTTTCAATTAATGTCTGTTATTTGTTATCATCGCAAACGAAATGTGTTTACGTGACAAAAAAAAATAGAAATCGTAGACACACATTGTTTTTCTCTCGATAATATTGTTACGAGCTCGTATTTGAGAATTGTACAGAACTTGCAATTAATATAATTTAAATAATGTAAATGCGTAATAATTTGCTTGTTTTTTTTTAGTATAGTTAATCAAAAATTGATTGTATCAATAATTATATAGTCGTTTATTATAACGCAGAATGGAATATATGTGTTTGAAATAATTCGAGATGGGAAAAAACCATTCGATCCATCAAAAAGGGGGGATATAAATATGATTTGAATGAACGAACGAACGAACGAACGAATGGTTTACGTTAAAATGGATTTGAGAGAAAATGTTTTGGTTGTTTTTTCTTTGTTTTTTTGTTAGGAAAGAAGGTACAAAATATAGGTTTTAAAAATACTGTTGGTTCATTTTATTGAATGGTTTCTTTGTTCTGGTTCATTATAATGGTGTCACACACATAAGGTATTGAAAATGGGTTAATTTGTCGGTTTGATGTGTTTATTTGGATTAGAAAAAATAGATGGTCAAAAGGTTCATAGAATTCTTCTTTCGTTTTAGTTATTAAGTCTGTGCAAATTTGAATTTTCTTGCCAAGAAATTGGTGAATTCAGGACATTGCGGAATAATGTCGAGACTAAAGGCAGTGTAATTCATTTTGACTTTGTTCTCCTCTTTTCATACATTAAATATTTATTTTCACTCTCCCGATAAAATTGTTTAAAATTGGTTATAACGTAAATTAATTTACAATGAATTCGGAATAATTTAGTCAACGAAAAAAAAAGAGTTCGGATTAATCAATTTAAATATCAATTTTTTTTTTTATTTAATTCATGTTCTTGGAAAATGAAAACAAAATTCCCTTCATAAATAATAATAAATCAAGTATTGTTAGGATTTGTCTTTTGGATAAAAGCAAGAAATAAATTTGGTTTTTAGTCCCCGAAAAAAAAACAAAAAATCTGTCTAATGTTAATCAAATTTCGAGCGCATTGCCGTAAATACGCTGAATTCAAGTTGCCTCGTCTCTTGCTCAAAACTACGAATTAAAAAACATAGAAAGTATATGCCTTAAATGGTAAATCGATTTGCTTTGGGATTACAACATTTCAACTGTGTGCTGTGTGTGTGTGTCTCTCTCTCTCTCATTGGTTCATCGAAATAAATAAAAAGAAAATTGTTTATTTTTTGTAGTCTAGTGCTTTCGTCTGGCATCAACAACATCAGAAGGTTGTTGATCGAGAAGATTTTAGAACATAAATTATTTTTAGATGTGCAATTTTTCTTCGTTTTGGAGTCAAGCTGCTCCATGGATTTGCAATGAAAGATGAAAGGTTTTTTTTCTTTTTTGTTCGTCTTCTTCGGCGTCTTCATCAAGGCTTTCTCTATTCTGCGGTTGATTGTTTATTGAAATGCCTGCGATGTTGTGGGCCATGCAATTTTCGCATCGATACGCTTGTACGCAAGCATACAAGGTTTACCACGGGCAGTGAGACGAATCTCTTGTGGACAGTCTGAATCCAGAAGCAAGGTTTCTGTAATTGTAAACAACAACCGTAAGTGAAAACGGAATTTATTTTTTATGGAGAACAAGAAACGAAAACAATTGCTTGTGAATATAAAACAAACCTTCTCCATCGACTAGTTTGAAAAGAGCGTAATCTTGAGGATTCGTGACGCGTGCCTTGTGGGCAATAATTCGGCAAACTTCACGCGTTGTTGTGTGCGGCCGAATCGGTAACGTGCGCGTTTGCAATGAGCCATTGTATTCATCGGGTATTATCACACGCAATACAGATGAGCAGGCGGGCAACGAAGATGATCGAAACTGAAACGAATGACAATCCAGAATACAATAAGAAAAGATCGACTAAACAATTCATAGCCCACTCAAAATAGCTACTAAATGTGTGGGTTGACTTACATCTAATGAACCGGTACCATCCTGTTCATTGGTTATAAAACTTTTAAGTACATGTACAGCACTACAGAGAGCAGTCAAGTAGTAGCCAGCTTCTCCGTTCAGTAATGATGGTTGTAGTAGACACCACATGAATTCTGCTTCGATTTCAGCACCAATAAAACCGCATTTGGCCACAATGTACACGAGCAGCGGTAAAAAGTCATCCGCACCCAGTGCATGACTTTGAGTATTTGTCGTGGCTTCAATGATCGATGTCACGATCGATAGTAGAATGTCCAATTTGGCCAGCGGCAATTCGGCTTCTTGTAAGCGCAAGATCAGCAGCGAGATTCGTTGCATTGCAGTCGGTGATGGGGTTTTAATGCAGGGCTATTTTGATTAAAGAAGACGATGAATAATTTTTTTCCATGTTTTTGTTTTTCAGTAAATGTTCAAAGATTAGAGTGGCCAAGGAACATTTCATTTTTTCTCTCACTCGCAAAAATTTCTTTAACTACGGATTGAAAGACTTACCCGAAGTCCAAAATCGGTAGGTGATTTACCGAAAGAAGCTTTGACATTCTCGACGAGCAGTTGAATATCGCCGGTGCCCGTGTAATAGTCGACAAACAATCCATAAAGATGTTCGCGTAGAGGTAACACAACCAATTGATGCATGACTCCTTCCAAAATAGTGTCCAAATTGAGGAATTCGTCGGATTTTAGCATTGATCTAGCTCGCAGTACTTCTTGTTGAAAATTTCCTTCACCATGTTTGACCAAGTAATTTTTCATACCTGAAAAATTCAAGATTTGTTTTTAAAAATTTCTTCTCTTACGCTGATCTGAATGAATGAACTTGATTGAAAGCAAACGAATTACCGCTCATGAACTGTCGCATATTTCGCATAATAATTTGGGGTGATAATTCTCGCGATTCCTTTGTGCATGAGATGAAATTCTCGATATTGCGAGCAAATGTTGACGACGAATCTTGTGCCAAAGTCAGTGCATATGCTGCAATTGAATCGCCTGGGCCGTTTGTTGTTGTTTTATTTCGTGGGTGACCTGCATCGTGAAAAATAAACGCAATTAGTATCGATTATACATTCCACACGCACACACACTCATACACTATCTCTACGTTTGTCAAGGAAACATGCAAAACGTTCTTCAAATTGCGAATAGGCAAAAAAGAATGAACAGCCGACGATTTGATAATGTTATTAATAAATTGTGTTGATTAAATAATTTAAATAGGAGGCGACATCAAAGTAAGAAATCATAGGCAAAAGTAGGCCAATTTCAATTCAAGCCACACATGCATCACTGTCACATACAGGCCCGCGGCAAAACATCAAACAACGACAGATCAACGTCATCGAATATGGGGATTTTGCATGAGGCTCCATCGATTCTGATAACAATGCACTTTAACGGCAAATCGAACTGGTTTGACGTTCTTTTAATTAGTTTTGCGTTGCAGCCAGACAATAGTCTAAATATGAAATACACAGTCATTTATGTCAACAATTTTGTTTGCAATATTTCATTTTCTCTTCATTTCACGCAATTCAATTTCACTTTCGAACTGTCTGATGCGCACTTTACTCGCGATTATCATGCGCACAAAATAAAATGTGCGTATTACTTTTCCGGAAGCAAAAATGCCGCAAGGAAAAGCAAATACGTTCACTCATCAATAACATAGACTATAATAATAACATACTCGTTGCTTTTCTCCCGCTCTCTCTCCCTCGTTAGTTTTGATTAATGATTGCGAGAGCAACATGTTGCAATAAATATTTACGTTACGTTTGCAAAAGAAGCAGAGAAAAAACAACACATTTCAAAATCACCAAATCTCGAGAGGGAAAGAGTATGCTTTATTGCACATCGTAGATTATTATCGAACGGACAAGGTCTGAAAAAGAGACAAAATGTGTTGAAAAAAAAAATGAAACTAAAGCAAGACAAAAGCTCACATAACTTTACGTGAGGTCTTAATAAATGCATGATAATCAATGATAAGTTTCGTGTTTCAATAGGAAATCATTTAGCTCAATTTCAATCAATCAATGGATTCTTTTTCTCTCTCTTTTTTCGAGGCAGAAATGCCGCTAAACAGCAAATATTGTGTCAACAAAATGCTTGGAAACACTTTAAGTGGTAAAAAAATATAATCATTATCATCGTGAACGATGGATCTAGATTACACAATCTCAAGTAGTTCGAATGAATTTATAGTTCAAATAATCTCCTTTTTTCTCCCTATATTCCAATCGCCACTTTGTCTGAGTGCCAGTTGGAAACGGTGGTTATTTTCACAAGTCATCAAAACGTAGCAAAGAACTTTGATATGTTCAATCGCATTTCTACGACATTCCATACGACAACGGGATGGAATAAACATGATCATAAATGAATGCCAGCAAAAAGTGATTCATATGTTGCATACAATATAAACTATTTTCCATTTTCACCCAGACAGAATAGCTGATAAGCCACTTTAATTGCATACACAAGCTTCCAATTTTATGGTGTCAAAACAAAACAATCCTAAAGTAAATCAAAGTATTCAATGTCAATGAACTACTTTAGTGCATTGTTCAGCACTCTGGGCTATTTTTATCGTATTCTCTCTCGTTCGAAAGGTGTACAAAAAATGAGGTCTTGTAACTTCATATTTTGTGCCAAACCAAGAGAAAAATATACACTCAAAATATAATCACATTGATTGGCGTTCGATTAGACATATATCATGTACTCAACTGTTTTGGCAATTTATGTTACCGTTATAATCATTGATGGAGTTTTGCTCTCATTTTCAAGATTTTATTCGATTTCTTTGTTATTGATTTTTAATCTTTCACATGGAAAACATTTTTAGGACTTCGACAATGTTGGAGAGTTTCAATTTTATTGTGCTATTAGCGGTTTAGCGATAGCATTGTCAAGGAATCAAAAGAATATGAACGGCCATTTGGAAATTCCATATGACCACTTGACATTTGCTACTTGAATTTTAACGAGTTGCGAAAATAAAAACCGCATATCATCTCCATGTCTGTGAAATGTATCAAAAGTTGGAATCAATTTATACCGAAAATCGATTGAATTCATTTATGGCAGTATTATCAGCGCTTAAAGTTCTTTTTACACAAAATAAATGTGTATAAAATTTTGATACACAATGATGACACAATTATTGTAACATGTGCGAGGATTCTCAAGTGCAATATCTCCATTTGGTTCAGTTCATGGGTACTGTAAATCATGTGATCGCAGAAATTTGTTTGTCGCTTGCCATCGATTCAATTGCAATATATATCATTTTCTCAAATTGATTTCCCTGTTCCGAGAATTCCGCATCGAAATCAATTGATCGCTTTTTCGCCTTTCTGCAATGCGAACAGCGATTAAATCTTGCGTTGATGATAAATGTGTAGATTTTACAGTAGAAATGTACAATTTTGCAGACGTAATCAATAAAATGTGTGTACAAGTGCGTTTTTTTAATGGACGAACTGTAAGTGACACCAATTAAGGATCACGCAATTCCATTTGTTTTTTACTTAAATAGCCGAATGGGAAATAAAACCAATTCGTACGTTCAATTGGTATTTTCTCAATATTTTCTTCGAATTGTTCTAAATTTTATGGATATCGCTGCATTTAGCACTGCATTTCTTAATGAAATACTCTATAAATGTACTCCTGTTGAATCAATCTCATGATCAATAGCTTTATTTGCACATTTTGAAAATTCCAAAGCCGCCAAACGAAATTGATTCGACTTATAGATGTTAAACTAGTGAGAATACAGTCAAATGAGAGAGTCTAACTGGAACATTGGTCGTTGCCCAGTTGGCAGTCATGATTATATGAAGTGATTTTTAATTCGTCAGATATTTTTTCCACTGAATCATTGTTGACTTTGAAACTCATTACTCGAAAAACAAGTATGTAGTTTGACGTTATTATGACAGTTATGATGATGATGATAAAGACCTTTTGAATTACAACACGATGATAAAGAAAAAGAGAAGATGGTTTGACTCACCAACGACTGTTGTGCACTTGCAAATTGTGTTGGACATGGCTTTGAAAAAGCGTTTAACGGCAAATTTTAAGGTGAATTTGGGCGTTTCATACACTTCTTCACCGTACGGAACATCGCAATAAATTTTCTTTTTACGTCCTAGGAAAAAGCCAAAACCCTTCTCTTCGCAAATATGATCGATGTGAATGATAATGTCACCGCATTCATTCAAGCCGAAATATTCGGGAATCGATTCTGTTGAACAGTAATTCAACGATGTGATGTATGGTGATTTCAGCGAATCGATCGTTGAAATGGACGACAACGAATTTTGAAACATTTGCGCAGTGAGAAGGTTCGAATGTTTGCTCGATGAGCATGGTTCTTGAAGGAGGTAATTAAATTCAGGATACATGGTATCTTTCATGAAGAACGAGTCCGTGGATTGGCAATCATGCCGTTTCGATGTTGAAATACTGCTGAATTTCATGGTTGAATTACTTCCACTTGATGTGCAAGACAATGGTGTTGTGTCGACAGCCTCAACGGCAATTGCGTCGAACAGTGATGGTGTTCCAGTTTGAATGTTGATATCGAGAAATCTAACGAAGCACAGCAAACGTTCGATGGTACAACAGTGCGTTTCATTTATCCCATACTCTTGTAAACTGGATGATTGTGATGTACGTTCGTACGATCCGCGGTTATTTAGCGAATAAGTTGATGGACACTGATGGACGGTAACGATGGTTTTTCGCTCGCTAAATTCGGATGTCGTGTAATACTGTATAAATGATGACGATTGTGTGGTGTTGCTGGTGCTGCTGCTGCTGAATCGCTCGTCATCAGAAAAGCTTTCACATGATGCGATGGCTTTTAGTTCGGAGGATACAATTACCCAATCAGTAAGCGGTGGTTCATCGCACACTCGACACTTGCGTGAATTCTGATTTGCGTCGGGTGCTGTTGTTGGTGGTGGTGGTGGTGTTGTCCTATTTTTGACTCTCGTTTCGATTTCCGATATGAAATACTCTAATTCTTTGATTCGTCGCTGCAGAAATTCAATCTGTTGAAATGGTTTCGGTGGCCATTCGTCAGTTTCGACGCTGCCGTCGCTATCGTATTGAATTTGAATACGATTCGAAGATGAATCACTCTCTAAACGATGTTTTACATCAAACGATGTAGCAGTTGAATTGCAAATATTGCAACAAATTTCTGGTACGATACTCAATTTGAAAGTACACAGTCTCGGATCCTTTGACTTTGACAACGAGCCACAGTCGTATTCGCCATTACCGTATTGGTTCACATTGGTTACAAAACTGTCGTGGTTTTGGAGAAAAATTTCTGAACTGCCACACGAAAGTCGACTTGAGCAATCGATATCAATTGATTGTCGCGTATCATTATTGATAATTGCGCTGTTATCAGCCACCTGAAGTTTCTGAGCGTCTTCTGTTGTCGTCGTTCGACTGATTGTTGTTGTTGTTGTTGTATTCGATTCGATAGCATTCCGATCGCAATTATTTTTACTAATATTACTAATACTCGCTGCAACCGAATCGATGGATTGATTGGGTCGCCGTCTTCGAATGAACCAGTAGCTATTGCGATGACGACACGTAATTGAATCATCGTTACAACCATCGTATATGATTCGGATTATCTTGCGTTTGCTTTTGATTTTCACGTCAGCGGATATGACCGCTTTGACGGTGTCTCTAGTATGGTTCACGAATCTTTCGTGGAACCACCTTTTGAACCACAGCATGGCTTATGTCGTAACGATTTTTGCCCGATAACACGAATTGACGAAATGGACAATATCGCATTGGCACACCACTTGCAAGCACTGGATATTTGATTTGTTTCTGTTTTTTTTTCCAATATTTTTGATTCACTTTGTTTTGAATTCCCATATACACAATCGAATGCTATCTGCTCTTCACCACCACCGATTCTAATTCATCAATTTCGCAATGAAAATGTTCCAAAACCGAATATCACGGAGCCACAAAATCAATGACTCTTTTTATTCAATCCGAACCCGACAGAAATATCGTACAGAAACACACGCGTGCACCACAACAACTGTTTTGATTTGACGCATTCAACGATGAAATGCAACTGAAATTGTTTTTTCTATGATAATGTGATTTAACAAGTGTAATCCAGAGAGATCAATGCTGCTGTTGTATTACTTATTTTCATCACAAGATCTCTCTATTCGTTTGTTTTGTAAGCGCAATTTTATGGGCGACAAAGAAAGACAGAGGCGATAATAGAACGGTTGATCGCAGCAGCGAATGCACAAACACATTTATTCTCGTTTTAACTGTTATTCCGTCCGATGTGTGTGTATGTTGTAAATAATATTAGCATCTAAAACACAACACTGAACCCAAAATGTGCGCGCCTATCACTATCAATCACAAACGAAGTAAACAAAAGTCAACGTGTTGCCAAAAATATAATGTACAATAAATTTTGTTTGAACACAAATGGTTGAGAGCAATGTATTTTTTTTTAATCTGCACGAGCACAACCATTCAGCGCAATAACAAAATACACTGGACCTATGCGAGTGTCATCACCTTGTGACCGAGTGTACAAAGAAGTAGTACTAGTAACTGAGAAGAAAGTTTTACTATGATCTATGGGCAAGGACTATTCAATTCATTAATGCTCGAATTGCTTCGTTCGTTTTATCTGTCTAAGTTTTTTGTCACTGTACAATACACTATCCCCACTTACGACCACTCGTGTACGTGTGACGACTGGATGCGCTTTGTTGACAACACACGATTGGGAATTTGCAACAGGCAAACGTGTGTGTGTGTGACGAAGACGGCAACAACTTAGTGGGATTTTTGAGTGAAAAGATTAGCAACGAGTAACAAACAAAGAGTGATGCACCAAATCTTAGCTAATCACATGAGACAAAAAATCTAAACAAATTTCTCTAATGACGGGCTTGCGGCTTATGTGTGTGTATTGTGTTTTGTCTCAATTTTGTTGTTTCACACTCACATTTTATGTGGTTTTCAAAATACAACAGCCCATGCTAAATGCGGAATGTGATTTAATCAGTGTGTGCGCGTGTGTGTGTATGTATGTGTACAATAGGTCGATGTCTGGTGCCAGGCTCATTTCAACCAAACACGCTAAAGCAAGAAGACAATATTCTGTACAATTTCTCGCACAGATTAAAAATATATTTCATTGCCATTCATTGTCGGTCCAAAAAATCATCATCCAGTTCTACATATGATTCGATTTATCTGTATTACGTTACTCGCATCGCATTGCAGATGTACATTCGTCTTCGGTTTGTGCTCTGCTTTGCTCGTATGACTCGTCGTCGTTAATTCGATTTTTTTGCGCTTCTCTTGACACGTTCTTATCGAACATAGTAAAATACGTCGCTAGACTGAATACAGGCGGTGTTTTTTATGGTTGCTATTTTTTTTCTTCTTTGCATTACTTCAATTAGTTGAGTTTTTTTTTGCTCTTTTCTATACTCTACTATTCTGGTTCGAAGGGTTAAAATGTTTTTTTTTGCCGAGGTATTTGCACAGTGATAATCAGCATTTTTTTTTTGAGTATTTTGAAACATGATCACGAAGTGAGACACATAATGATGCCGACATAATTATCAATTAAAATTAATAATAGAAGATCAATTCTTCGGACAAATATGAAAAACGACCAAAATATTAGATAGTCAGACTGGAGTTCAAAGTGCACGTTTCATTCAATCGAATTTATGTTTGCAATTTGATACCACAACCACTATTTCATGTTTGCTGAAGAAAAAAGTGCTGGTACATTTTCGGATTAATGTCTAAAATTAGACGTCGCTACAATGTAAACATTTGCCTATCATAAAAGCAGCCGGTATATTTTTGTTCGTGTTTATCTGTCTCATTTGGAATGTAGCCACTCCACTGATACATCGACATTATGAATATTTGCGGATTATGTTTCGGAAATGCAACACTCTTTCGTCGAACTCAAAATGAAAACAACCGGCAGACAGTGAATTAGGACCGATTTGATTGCAAACCAACATCATTTCATTTTCTCTTATCGATAGTAGTTTGAAATCCTTCTATTTCGCAAATAGCAACAAAAGCGAGTGATGAAATCATTAATATGCATTTGCATCAGATGCATTTCGTTTAAATCGAATGACTCTCGAATCGATAAAAGAATCAACTAGTGACGGAACAATATCAATAAATCAAAAGCAAATTCGCGTAGCGTCAATTTGAAATTCAGTCCAGTAATTTGTCGATTGACATTCGAGCAATACACATCTTTCCATACAGCAAATCTAATTGGAACAGTTTCAAGTAATGGCCGCAATTTCACTGCATACTATTGGCTTCGATGATGAAATTTCTTCCAGGCAGCCACAACAAAAACACTATATTTTTCTGACCCAAATATCTTAGCGGCAAATATTGATTTTCATAAACTGCCAATCACTGTCTGATGTTAGGTCGTATCGAAGAGATCCGTATTGTGCCTTTGAAGTGCCCTGGGATGCATACAGCCTATCTGTACAATTTAAAACTTTTCACATTTTCAACGATCGACTATAGATGAAATCACCGTTTATCGACATCTGCTCACCATTCATTACACCTCTGATGGAAAATACCCTCTTCGATTTGTTGATTTTGTTTGAAAGGAGTTTAATGACCATACGTTCGACGACGGATGTAGAAACTGATTTGAAATTGAATTCGAAGTAAAATTTTATTTGTACTCACTCTAATTTATAACATAACTTATTGCACAAATAGTCTGACCACAAATGAAAATTCGAACAAAAACAAAAACATCGATGTTGAGTACATACTCCAAATAAACAAAGGAAAAATGAGTCAGATTTGTGGACTCATTCCCAAAAGCACATCATATCAGCGGAAGTTCATTCATCATATCATGTAATTCCTAGAAATGCAAATTAACTAAGTAACGAATCAGTATCTTCACAGAAAAAAAAACAATCTTCATCATTTCTGCGTAAAAAGTTGGAAAGAGTCAATTCTCTCGGAACAAAATTCTTAATATGCATATTGATGGCCCTAGATGGGCGCAGAATGAGCCACTATGCACCGAGATTAAATGAAAACTTATTATCGTTCATTGCGTCAAGTGTAGAAAGTGTGCCTTCGTTTGTGTCACTCTTTGCATATCAATGCGTCAACGCACTATCGAGCGGAGAATCTAAATTTTCTCACAAATGATGACAGTAAGTGTTTGTGTGCACTTAGTTTTTAAGTGAAAGGAGCACTGTGTATATAAGCTAGGTAAGATAAGAGTATTTCAAGTGCGATCACGTCAGACACATCAGTATTGTGTTGATTGTGTGTTGTGAAGACCGTTACGGAGAAGAAAAAAATGATTGAAATTCTGATTTCAAGAATTATTTTTGTGTAAATCATAAAATATGCGGCACATGTGCGACACTGATAGTGCGAAAAGGCACACACTTTGGGGAGATAAGCGTGTTTTTCGAGCGGTGTTTAATTCATTCTTCCGCATTTTTAGTTATGAGTATTGATGTGTTAACCGTTATTTGAAAACTAAAGACTTAGCCCAAAAGATATAACATTCCGATTGGAGGTAATCAAAAATGAAACTTCGAGCATTGACTTATTGAATGAGTTCGACTTTGAAAACTAACACTTGAACCAAGTTCTATTTATGCAATTTAAATTTACCAGCATTACAGATAAGAAATAGATAACGGAGGACATATCTTGCATTTTGCAGTTACTTGCATTTTATTCACTTCACAAGCGCATAAAATGAGCTTTCAGCACACTCAGACTTCTAATCAAATTCAATGACCTTGCTTTAGATTTCGTTATTACTTGTGTTGTCGCTAGTTCAGCTGATTTTATCAGCAATTATTTACATTATAAAGCTGATTGATAAGAAGGCAAACAATTCGGTAACACTTACTCAACACTTCGCGGTCACGACAACTTCGAGAGCGTAGAATAGTTGCAATCTTTTGTGGCTGATGATGTCTCGGTGCGTAGTTTTCTTTCTGATGTTGACTGAATTCCTCCATGATTGTATCATCTTCGGAATTGCAGATTACTGGTCGACATTTCGAGAGGTGTATCGATTCAGAGATGGTATCTGAAAGTAGAAAACATGAATGCAATGAAAAGAAGTTGAGTTTTCCTCATTATTTTCCAATTGTTTTTCTTCGAAACAATAAATTTACTGATAAAATTGCATTTTAACCATATATACCATCATGTGGCAAGAATGAGTCCCATTGTGAACTGTCCCATGGTTCTGAGAACACAGTGCCATCGTCTGAGTGACTATCGTGACACATCATTGATGTGCCATAGCCGGAGTGTGCAGCACGTTCAACATTGTCATAGGCTGATAATCGGCTGCTTTTGCCAAAGCTTGTCATAGTTGCATCATTTCTCGACAGTTCAGGCGATGAGTTAGCTGGTATCGTAGTCTTTTGCAATAATTCGGAAATTTTCAAATCAGGCAATTTCTGTGCGATAATTTGATTGATTGTCAAACGACTTTCATGTCGTACATTATGATGGGATGAATTTAAATTTGGAGATTTCTTCGGGTGTTCACCATTTTGTGAAATGTTAGCTTGGAGTTTCCAGTTTGCGTCTGTGTCATAATCATTTTGATCATCATTTCCCATAAACTCCCAGCTGCTATCCACTGGCCATGGATCCAGTCGACCACTTCGTATCGGTTTGCCCCGTGGTTTTTTCTTTAATTCATCCAGAGAACCGGATATGTGATGACTCTTCTCGGAATCAATTGGGGATAGTACTTGGCAGAACTGTGTATTTCGTGATTGCGCCTTCGGTGGTTCCGAATGGCGTTGAGATTTTGGTGGTCCGTTCACACGTTGTGATCGCCGCACAACGTTTCCGGATTGAGCAAGAGCGTCGGCTGGTTCAGCATAAAATGGGCTGTCACGTTTGCACTGTGTTTGAGATGGTGTTTGAACGGGTGTTGAATCGTTCATTGGTGGTGGAATCTCTGTGGTTGGCGTCAACAACAGTCCCAATCGATTTCGTGGCTGTTGCAACATTGACTCCTGAGCAAAATCAGCTGCAATTTGCAAACGATTTATTTCCATCGATGGGCTCAGCAAATCATTCAATTTCTGGCATTCGTTATTATTTTGCTCCATTTGATTTTTGGCATTTTGTCGTAGTACAACTCCATTTTCATCATCGAATCCGGGTGATGAGCTATGCTCGCTGGGCGTTCGCAATTTTTGCGCATTCTGTTGACTAGCAGATGATGAAATTGAACCAATTGGCGACAAGATATTATCGGATAGCGATGTCACAGTTGCTATGAAATGATAAAAGTTTTGAATTAATAAAAATAATTTCATTTTTAATGAATCTAAATTTTCAATAACTTACGAGTTTCTGGCAAAAGATCGGGTCGATGTTCAGAGCGAAAACTGGATAGAGCCGGTCCTTTGCCAAAACTTGAGTTGCTGCCACCATTCTCTTGACTCCATAAATCTTCATAGTCACTGATTTTATCGCCGAGTGCGCTGCGACAATACACTTGAGGTGACTCCAAAATATCTGACTCTTGATAATGCTTTGATTCTTTGCGGGCACGGCTTCGTTTCGTTCGATTGCTGGCCACTTGTGACGTTGGTGACACAACTTTTCGATTATTTTGACTGGAGTCTTTGCTTGATTGGCTTTGCCAACGCTTCGAACCCTGTGATGATAATGTATCGGCCGACGTTTTGCACTCACCTTCAGGTGACATACGCTTCGAAATCGTTTGGAACTGAATGGGATACAAAAAAAAGAAGAAGAAGATGAATTGCGTCAATTGAATGCGTTTTGAAAAAATTCAAAAGTGCACACGTGCCACTAGATAAAATAAAACCACTTACCGCTGTGTTTGCATTTGGTGATAAAATCTCGACGAATGGTGAGCATTGTTTTTGAACATTGCTTGAGATTTCCGTCACCATTGTTGTGGTCATGGTGAAGTTGGTGGATGAAAAGTGTTCGGTGGCAGTGGGTGTTATTGAATCGGTTGGACTTTGTGATGATGGTTTCGTCCATCTTGGTGGTGGGGCTGGTGGTATTCGTAGTGGAATTACATTCAATGTGCTCGGCGGTGTTGGTCGTACACCTCGAATATTTCCGTTATTATGCTCATTGAATGCATTGTTATTAATATTCGAATCGAGCCCGGCATTTGGTGGCGATGAACGATTTGAAAATGTTGTAAGTTTTTCCAAATCCAATGACTTGCGATTTTGTGTTTTGAATGTACTGGTTTTGCCGATAATACCAGTTTGGCAGCTATCAACTGGTGACATGGTCAACATAACACTGTCCATCGATTCGGGGCTTAAAATCTGCTGGCCAGTACTGGTAAAACTACTTAGACTAGATGCTGTGTCGGATGGTGTGCTTGGGCTAAATACATTGCCACTCACCACCGTATGCTGACTGTTTGTCACGATTTTATGCTGATTTGCACTGAACATCGTTGTGCCCAGTCCGCTCGATTCGGTCTTTGACGCCGTCGAAACGGGTGTTGGGCTTGTGTTTGCCGAAGGTCGTGGATTTGCCATTGGATAACGCCAAAATTCCTGACCAAGCAACGCAAGCGAAGAGAGCTGTTGTCGATTTGGTGCTTCGCGTAACGTGCGTGGCAACGTTAACTGCACCGGCAATTCATCACTTTGGAAGAGAGGAGAAAAGAAATATCGGTTGTTAGAGTTGATTGAATTCAGTTTTCCATTTAATGATAAGACAGACACTTACCAGCATTTTGCATAGTGATCAATCAAAGCCGGTATTGAATTGAATTCAAAACGTGAACTCTCCAAACTCAATACGCCATTTTCTGACAGAATCAGATAATGCTCAATATAGGGACCGGTGTCTGGTGGCAAACGTACCGAAACGGCCATTGTATTCGCTTGACTTGAACCACGAACAACAAAATTCTGGGGAAGAAAGAAAATTCAGAAGAGAAAATATGTTAAAAATATGCAACTGGATTGAATAAATGGATTGATTATTAAAATTGCAATGGGAGATAACGTGCACAAATCGATTTGTAATGGTCAATGTTCATGTTCATGCAGAGGAACGCACACAAATAGCTTTTTCTTGCAAGTTATTCAGAAACCTTTCTCTTGCACAGTATCAATCTTGTTTGACAAGGGACCTGATAAAAAAAAGACGTTTATTACTGCATTTAAAATCGTCTCGGGTGTTTGCGCGCATAACAATTCGTATGTAAATGTAAATACTTCTATACTTGATGGAAAATAAACGCAAACATATACAATATTTCGAACAGAGTCTTGTCTCGCCTCGTCTTCGCTGTGATTCATCGTCAATATTTCCTTTATTGGATGCAGTTGGCGCGAATGCACAACATTATTTTATGCAGCCACTCAAGCTGCCGGGAAGCGTCACATAAATTTTGTATAAATTTTATTATCAACGAAAAGCATGTGTCTGCTCTGTGTGTGGATATTGTTGCATCGTGTCGTGCTCTCATGTCTGTCTTCCGCACATTTCTGACGAAGAATACATATTGACAATCCAATTTGCCACGAAGATATAGTGCATCACTTTAACTTAGTATTCCATACAGCTTGAGTGTCATCACATAGACGAAAAATGTATGCATGGCAATAAAGGTAGAGTAAGTTGTTTTTTATTTCATTTTTATCAACACTCTGCGCGCGCTGCATGCCAATATCGACGCTGTGCCAGTGTTATAAATAAATTGTCTATCGCATTAAATTTTATTAAAAATCGCATTTTCGGTGAATGCATGTGAGCACTGAGCAATTGAGCACTTATTGTGCATTACAAATCACTTGATAAAATATGTATTTAAGCGAAAGTATTTGCAGTTTGGGTGAAAGGAAAATTCAACCAGAACACCAAATTGCAGCAAAAGCGACGGCGACGACCGCGGCCAGATGTAAAACGACTGCAACGCAATATTCAGCTACTTGAGGAAGTATAATAATTGTTGCGTTTGTATTCAATTTAACGCCGTCTTTTGATTTGTATTTGCAGTAATTTCACTACTGTTTCACCAACTCAGTATCCACTGTCCATTTCTGTGCATTCCCATTGCTCAATCAAATCATTTTGGTAACCATTGGCTGCATACACATTGCATTGCATGCTATTTCTGTTCGCTGACGCAAGATTTTCTATGCACACATAATGAATTCATTTACGCATCCAATTCGATGCGTTAGTTTCGCTTTTAAACTCTTTTGCTGATGGCATCAAAATGTTCGCTTTTATTGGTATACACATCTTCGGAACGATGCCATTCGTATAAGGCACTTAACCACTTTTTATGTATATGAACTCGAGAGTAACAAAAAACTATTTGAATAGCGAACATTACGTTCGATTCAGTTCAATTCGATCGAAAGAGAGAGTCGTTTTCAACAAGAAAACAAAACAAAAACAATGTATACTTCAATTACGAACTGTGCGATATAAATTGTGCGAACAATATTGTGCGATGAACAGCATATTTTGCAATTTCGATAAATAATTAAATGAAGATAAAAACGAATTGAGCGCAATTCCAATCGATTCATATCCCAACAGGCACAAAAAATAGTTTTAAAAAACTGAATCTGCATTGCGTAACAATTGAAGTATCGGAACAATTTCAAATATAACGTAAATGGCAATTTTTTTCGTTCACCAATTCGATGTAAATTTATTCTCGCATTCGATTGATTCACTGGAATTAACGCCACATATTTTACAGCTGCTTGTTTATATTTTGTGAATTTGTTTTCGAAATAAAAAATAAATGAACGACATAAATTTACACTCTTTACCATTTCAAGTATAGTATAAGTATAATGATTATCCTTATTTCTCATTTCATTGAAGACTCAATAAGTTTTCATTATTTATGAAAACTACCTAAACGTATGCTTTCCAAAACTGTATGGCAATATCAGTGTTATAACTTTGATTTTCGACCAAAATAGTATCTGTAGGAATGTCCTGGTTTTTCCTCAGAAAATGCAATGGCTGCTACGTAGATTGTACTTCGAAAAACACTGAGATGGGTAAACCCATAAACTTTATTTAGAGGAAAATTGGCATATTTTCATATATTTTCTGTGACACATTTCACCATTATGGCGCATTTGGATTTTTATTAAGGTTTGATGCTAAACTTATATCGGCTGAAAATAAACACAGTTTAAATCGCCGCAAATATTTGTAAAACATTGAACTAAATCCGCTTATTTTATTTCTCTGCTTTCGATATTTATTATTTACACACGCAATTATAATCGTGTCACTATTGGAATTGTGCAATCGTGCGCCTTGGAAATAGTGTCGTTTTTATGATTAGGTATCATGGACATATTCAAAACCACTAGAGATATATTTTTGTTAAATAAGAGTATAAAAATGTGTTCCGATCGAACACACGTTTCATTATATTCATTGATATTGAGTTAAGTGGTTTGTCTCTACATTTTTAGATTCCTCGATCTTTGGTAAAATATATTTTTCCAGTTGAAATAAAGTAAAAAAGAAACGAAGATGTTGTGTAATCAGAACATATCTCTGCCAAAGTGTCATCTAAACAGTGTAGGGACCGGAGCGCAAAATTTCCTCACTTTAATTCAAACAATATTGGCTGCTCAATGTGCCATTTCACCGGCCCAAATGTGGCCACGAGACTATGGGAAAATTGCATTGAAAAAGGGTAATCGTCTTTTATTGCACAAATACACATTTTGAAGTCGAAAGAAGCTTTTTCGTGACAAAGTCAATGAAGCACACTCAATCCTGCTATGATATACTTTGCTTCCCATGTATTTTGAATGTAAAAACAACGAGCGAACAAGATTTTTTTTAAATTGACAAACGAACAAAACATCATTTTAATGATGTCGAACGAACGAATAAGCGTTCGAAGATGTTGTTCGGCCAACACTACTTCCATTGTTTGGTCAAATGGTTTTTTTTAAAGTTGTTTGCCTTCTATAAAAAAAAATTGAATTCATGGTTATATCGCATAAGAATAAACATAGTTTGAATTAATGTAAATATTTTTAAGATTACCTGAACTAAAACTGCGTATTTCTAGCACTACATAAAATGCGAATCTGTTGGTCTGGTTTTTTTTCTCAATGATTTTTCTTGCGATTTCTTGGGAGTCTTTAAGCCGATTTTCGTATTTGTATTTATTCATCTTCTATTATTTCATGGACATTTCAGTTTATTATTTTTTTTGGGTTTGCGAAAAGAGTGTAGTATTATTCTTTTAATTCATCATAGTGTTTTTGAGAGGGACTAATTTTAACTGTAAACAATCAAAGTGAACATACATCTCACATAGTGCGTAACAATTTTCTGTTGTGAAACAACAAAGTGAACTCAACTAATGAAGCTCAGACCATAGCAGAGCTCAGCGTTGTTGTTTTTCAATTTCACGAATTTTTCAATATATTTATTTACTTCCATATTTGCACAGATTTCTTAGGTATTGAATTATCTCGTCAAAATATAGCGCCACTATGAAAATATTTAATTGGTACGTCATTTTAATGAATAGCAATATGACGTGATGTTTTGATTGAGATGCTAACACGTGTACCAAATTTACTATAAAAGTTGGAGGCATTGTAAACTTATTTCATTAGATTAATTGATATTGAATAGAGTAATACGGTTTAGTTCTATCTTATCATAGTTAGAGAATAAAATTGAATCTCCAAGAAAAAAAAGAAGATGTCGTGTAATCCACAGTGTCATCTAAACAGTGTAGGGACCGGACCGCAAATGTTCCGCACTTTAATTCAAACGATATTGGCTACTCAATGTGCCATTACACCGGCCGAAATGTGGCCACGAGACTATGGAGCAATCGCATTGAAAAGCGGTAATTTTTTATTTAACAAAAAAACGTCACATTCGAAAAAAGCACGGGAAGCTATTACGAGATTTTTCTAGAATGATGAAAATACATAAAGTGTTATCAATGCGGCATGCAGTTATAGCATAAGGAGACATATTTTGCGTCTTTTTGGAGTTCATATTTTCATTTTTTTCTTCTTCAAAATCTATCCAGGGCTGGAGGTCTACGATTTTATCGTGGTTGGTGCAGGGTCAGCGGGATCAGTAGTTGCCAGTCGATTAAGCGAAAATCCAAATTGGAAGGTTCTATTGATTGAAGCTGGAGGCGACCCACCCATAGAAACTGAGGTATGAACATTCTCTTTTACTCTAATCTCAAAACGGAAATCGGCAAGTTATTTACACTCAAACTGAATTTTAGATTCCTAGCTTGTTCTTGGCCACTCAAAAAACTGAAATCGATTGGCAATTTTACACAGATTCCGATTCACTATGCAAGGCAGCAAAGAATAAGAGATGTTACTGGCCGCGTGGAAAGACACTTGGCGGTTCGTCGGCTATAAATTTTATGTTCTACGTTCGTGGAAACAAGGCAGACTATGACGGCTGGGCGAAAGATGGCAATCCTGGCTGGGACTACGAAGGCGTTTTACCGTATTTTCGAAAATGGGAACACAATCATGACCCTTCATTTGTGAGTTACGACAATGGAAAATATCACAGCGCAAAAGGTCCATTGAATGTCGATTTCTTCAGTGAAAATGGTCTGGATTCCCTTCGACAAACTTTGTTAGATGCTGCCATCGAGTCTGGTAATAAACAGATTGCTGACATGAATTCCGATAAAGATGTGGGCTATTTGAAAGTACAGGGATATTATTACAATGGCACTCGACAGAGTGCGGCCAAAGCATATTTAACGAAGCATCGCAAAAATCTTCATGTAATGAAACACACGTTCGCACAAAAGATTTTGATCAAAAATAAGAAGGCGTATGGTGTGAAGTTGTTGTATAATGGAACGAGCGTTCGTAAATTCAGAGCAATTGCACGAAAAGAGGTGATTATTTCAGCTGGAGCAGTGATGAGCCCTCATTTGTTGAGTTTATCTGGAATCGGACCGAGTAAGCAATTGAAAAAATTTGGCATTCCGGTTAAAAGCGATTTGGCAGTTGGAGAAAATCTATGGGATCATCCTCTATTATTAAGTTGGTTTAGGTTCAATCCAACTGTTAGCCCTGCTACTACTGCATTAGATAATCTTTATGAGTACGCAACTAATAAATCCGGTCCACTGGCTTCAATCGGATTGACAGATTTTGCTGGTTTCTTCCATTCGGTTAACAGCACGGGAAGGCCGGACTTTCAAGTAGTCTTCTTCTATTTTTCATGCAACTCAACATCTGATCTTGAGCTCTTCTTGGATAAGTTCAATTACAATAATGCGATACGTCATGCTTTATTGACTGAACTCCAAAGTTATGACCTTGTTATTGTAGGTGTCGTCCAATTGCATGAAAAGTCTCGCGGTGTCATCGAATTGGCGAGCGCCTCGCCAAAAGACTATCCCATCATCAGACCAAGGTACTTCAAAGAAGCAGATGATATGGAAGCAATGGTCCGAGTATTGAAATTGCAAATTTCATATAACAATACGACTGCGTATAAGAGTAGAGGCGGTGAATTCATTGACTTGCCAATTCCAGAATGTATTAAGCTTGGCCGTGGTTCGGACGATTATTATCGATGTTACATTCGATACTTCGTCAACACTTGTTATCACCCGGCCGGCACTTGCAAAATGGGAAACTTTGCTACAGATCCAAAGGCTGTTGTTGACAATGAATTAAAGGTTCGCGGCATCAAAAGCTTGAGAGTGATTGATGCTTCAATGTAAGTTTTATGGAAATAAATAATTATGTACAACGTACAATATCATACATATTAAACCGTACACATTTTCAGAATGCCAAACACCGTGTCGGCCAATATAAATGCAGCAACGCTGATGATTGGCGAAAAGGGTGCAGATTTAATTAAAGAAACTTATGCGAAAAGTACTGTATAGTATTTGGCAATCGAATGTATATGATTCCTAAAGGACTACATTGTTAACCAGAACAAGTTTCGAGAGAATCGAAACGTTGATACTTGGTAGAACATAGAAGAATTTTCCTAGTCAGAGTTACCGAAAGTACAAATATATTCAATTATATTTTACCAATTTTCAAATGTTTAGTTTTAGTAGTTTTTTTTTTTCTCATTTAAAGGGTTATTTCAGGGTTTTTAGCGCATTTGCCATAATATGTTCAACATCGAAAAAAAGATTTCGCAATGACAATTTGCTCAAAAGATGGTTAAAAAACTGAATCTGCATTGCGTAACAAATGAAGCGTCGAAACGATTCCGAATTCAACTTAAATGGTCATTTAATTCGTTAAGCAATTCGTTGTGAATTTATTCTCGCATTTGATTCACCAAAATTAACGCCGTATAATTTATAGCTGATTGTCCATATTGTCGATATAAAATCCGAAAAAATTCACATTTTTTACCAAAATAATGGGGTAATTAATTTTTTGTTGTGCAAATTGTACATTTATAGTATTATAAAGTGGAAAATTGTAAACAGTTTGTAATTTCGACGGTATTTCGATCGCATACATTTTGCACACTCAAAAATGCGATGCGTCCAGCTGTTCAACACATTTTAGCTTCAGCCACATGAATCCTTTTCGATAATGCCTCATATAAATCACCATTTGGAATTTTTGTGACAATTTCGTTGGCGACACGATTTCAACGTCTATTGTTGTTCCGGTTAAACGTCGGAAACAGACTCAGCAGCTTTGTACATCTTTTTTTTGTGTGTGTGTGGCATCTCTGTTTTTGGTATTACCATTGTTTTGACTACTGATACGTTTGGATAATCGCTGGTCAACCAAAAATGTATTTATGTTTAGCAAACGGAATACGAAAAATAGCTTTCCCATATAACAAAAAAAACCAGTGGAATTTATTGACAAAGAGGCATACAGCAAATATCGTTATTTATGGACGGCAATATTAAATGAAATAAACACGCAAATGAAACATACAACCCAAAAATGAAATGCTCTCAAAACGAATGCCCCAAAACGAGACATCTCTGTTGGTGACACTTTTTTTTTATTTATTCTTCTGAACGAGATGAAAAATCTATATTTTTTATTCGGGCGTATTTTTCGCGTCATGTTTACATTTGTCCATTCGTTTCGATTTTAAAATGAATTCGTTGCCATGCAGACAATTTATTATTCAAAATGAATCACGAGTTTGCTCGAATCCAGTCGGTTTGTGATGTTTGCATCAAAAACAGTGAAATAATTAAAAGCGATAGGCGCACGAGCGATTGACATCATACCCGATGGTAGCCGCTATAGAATGGATCAGGTCGCTTCTGTAAACGATGGAACAACGAGAATCATATTGTTCGTATTGATTTATGGCAACGATATATTGATTTTTCGCTCTCATTTGCATGCGACATCTACAACAACAACCACATCATCATCATCATTCCAAGTTCGCGTGCAGTTTTGATCGAATCAACGTTGTGGCGAGGCGAAAAAAAAGTGCATTCAAATAAGGCATTGAGAATCAGTGTGTGCTCCCTCGTTTAAATGGTTGTGGTGCCGAAAAACAGCCGAAAGGCAACATTTTCCACCTCAATAATTATCATCATGTGCACATGGTGAATCTGTGCGCTCGCAGTCGGTATTCAATTGAATCTGACTGGATGCTTAATAACAGAAGAGCATAAATCATGTATGGACCGAAGCGTTTGTTTGAATCATATGCAAGATATTCGGGGCGGTTTAATCGAGTATTGAATTAAATGGAGCGTAAATGTCTCTGCAAAATAGCGAGAAAAAAACCCTCCAACTCCAATGCCATTGCGGCAATAGTAGTGTCTCGACTGTTGACTTCATCGCCCAAGGTGTACTCAACCTGCTTGTGCATGAGCGAGCCCATGATATGAAGCTCGATGAAATGAAGGAATAATCCATTCTGAATGTGAATCTGCGGTCGAATTATTACTTCCATCTCTATGCATTTCTCATGCGCATTTCCATCTTTTTTCAATTCAATTTGAACTCTGTTCATCATTTCCCATTTTCAGCAGAACAATAGCAATCTTGCACAAAAATGAAATTACGAGAGAATGAATTTTCATTGGTTTTTGTTGAGATGCCTGTTTCGAATATTTGCAAGCGACGAATCGATAATTTTGCTCTAACTTTTTAACACCTGTACGATTCAACTAAAACACCATCTCATATTCTGCTATATAGATATTCGAAAATTTCCACCTCAATTTTGGTGCGGTTGTTTACTATGCGATGCGATGGAAAATATGTATACAAACCCAATATGCATTTCATTACGAAAATATCTAATGCATTAGATGATGACGAAAATAGTTTGAACATCGATTTTAGCTTGTCCCGGGCAAGTTTTGGTAATGCAATCAATAAACCATTGCACACAAATTCCCAGCGCTACTGTGTTTATTTACAGCTTAATAGCAAATTCATCAGCAATTTTTGTTTCGCCGTATGCTTAAAAGCGATTAAATCAGTTTGTTTGGTCAAGCGCAAAGTGAATTGATGGCTGTGGTAATTTTGATTGTGTATTTTGAAAGAAAAAAAAAAGATTTTACATGTTCAAAAAGGTGGATTTCTGGGCTTTTAATCGATATTTTCGCAAATGGCGGTGAATTTAGCCAGGCATTTCGGGTTAAATTTTTCTATGCTCTACTATTCAGAGTCGAATAGGCGTGAGTGCTTAACGTCTCATTTTACAACGTAATATATTCAAATTCAATGGAGAGCTATAAAGCATAAACGTTTTGGCTGGTCGAAAATATGACATCTCTCTCTCTCTTTCTCACACACACACACACACTGGCGACGGGAATAGGAACCATATTACCGAGCTATGCAAATAAATTATAAAGTAATTACATTAACGTGAAACGTTTCCAGTTTTCACAGGAAAATTGTTGGGTTTGTCATACATGTTTAAAATCACATATGAGTGCACCGGTTCGGTATATGCAGTGTACACAAGCCAAATCCACATTGCATGTTTCCCAGTGCAAGAAGTGTAGTGCGAGAAAGAGACGATGTCATATTTTTCCATAAAATTGTAATTCAATTTCATGATAGCACAGGCATCATAAAACAAATTGTAGCCAAAATATAAATTCTATGCTCGGACATGGTGCGCGCATAAAAATATTTACCCTCTTCCTGGTTGTACAACACCGCAGCAGCAGCAGAACCGGGAATGATATTAATGTAATAGACGTTGCTTTTGCATGAATGCACTTGACCGGGGCTGAGCCATTTGAGCTAGTTCAATATCCCTTCTCGATACATGTCCAGATTTATACGCCATAGTGTACTTAATGAAAGCAACCGATGCGGAAATTCTTTATCAACTTTTACTTACTCCGAACGTCATATCTAAATTAATATTGATGGTTCGTTCACATTGAAATACAGTTTCTATATTTAATCTGTGTAATATCTGTCATCTCATTCTTGGGAATGAGGATGTATTGAGCGTGGCTGCAAAGGAGCGTGGCTGCGCGCACTCTAATCGACTGAATGTGAAAAGTGGTACAGAATGACACATTAGAAACCAACCGCACGCACATTTTTCTTTTCTCGATGAAATTATGTGAAAACAACCGAATTTCTAAATTTAGAAACTATTTGAAGTGTTCCCCAAACCAGTAAATTGTGCCGTTTAAAAATGTATCAATTCAACCGGTTGAAATGTTTGAAATGAAAATGACGCTCGACTTATACAAAACGATTAATTTTTTGTGTGTTTCGGTCGACATTCAAAGTCAAATTCGTTCGCTTAGCGCGATAAATTTGATTCATTGCCATAAGTGGAGTAAAAAGTCAGATACTCAGTTAGTTTGATTCGTTTTGCTGTTTTTCATTTGATTCTGAATCGTCTCAACGAGTTAACGCAAAGCTGTAACAATTAAAAGTGAAGAAATAAAAATTCATTACGAAATGTTTTCGCTTGATTTTGTTTCACTTCGTTCGTTCAAAATGGGGCTCCAGTTCTCTCTGGCATGGAGTTTCAACTATTTTAATTGAGTGAACAAAATGCAGTTTGTGAAAATGAATCAACATATTTATGAGAGTTTAAATATAAAAACCAAATTCTTTTCTCACTTTTACTGCGGCTTTCATTTGAAATTCGCCAACGACGAAATACGTTGGGTCGCATGTTATACGGCCGTTTGTTCATACTAATTCTGTTAGGTTTTTTTTTTTGGCGAAACAAAACACATGTTTTACTTGTTAGAGAATGCGTGCTCTTTGAGCACGAAATAAATGATAGCATTCAGTGGAGTATGAATTGCTCGCCTGATGCCGCTCGAAAACGTCTATTGACCAAAATCTATTTTTTATGTCACTTGATCGATGACTCTTACGGTTCGCCGAAGGAGAGTAAAATGAAATGGAAAAACGAATATATAGAAAAATGACTTTGTACACATTTGGATTCCATTTCATGTTCCGCAAATGTTTTTCGCATGAATAAACTATTCATGATAGAATTCATATCAAATGCTTTCATCGAACACACACACACACATTCCATATATTCCAATAAAGAATCTAATCAAAATGCTTTTGATTTCGTTTGAACTTCGTTCCGAGAATGAATCTATTTTCGTTCATAACTATTTTAATTGATAAATAATAATTCCAGTAGCCAGCAAATGGAAGCGAAACAGATGGTCATTTGAATGTTAATTTAGACATGTTGCAGCAATGTGGAACCAACAATGGCCAACGAAACTAATGTAATGAATCAACGAAACCATGTGCACGTACAGTGTGGCTGATTGTGTTTGTTTGGCTTTTTTCTCTCTCTCTTTTGTCGGCTTGCATCACTCTCCCGTTGCACGGTCCCAACTCTGTTTGAACCCACACAATATACCATTTCGGTTTCCACACTGTGGAATGGAAATTGATGATGAAGAATGGTGGCGAATGGCGTTGATGTGAATTATCGCAATGGCAGGTATAATTAGAGAACTTTCGTTTTGTCGTTAAAAGCCGATAGACTCACAATAATTAAACAGAAAGCACACGCGTTCGATTTATTGACATGTAACGCTGTTGTTTATCATAATATCGGCTTTAGTCCGACTGAGTGAGGCAAACACAGACTAGGCTTTTGTCAAAAAGCCATTTGCAACACAATAACACACCCAAGTAGCAGCAATTACCATTGCAAATTCTTTGTACACGATTCAAAGATCCGATTCGCATTACTCTTTTTTTTTCAAATCTGTATTAGTTTACTTGCGGTTTGGAATGTATGTTTTCATTGGCATCACGCGCCACAGATTCACATTGTAATGCCATGAATTATGCCGGTTTCGATTCTCTGCTTCGTCGGAATTCATTGTGCACACTTTTACCGTGCCATTGAATCAACGCTTGAAAGCGTATGGAACCGTAACACTGTTTGCAACAGTGAAACAAAAGTTATAATTAATCGCAAAATGGAATAATACACACGAAAAAAAAAATTGGCTCGCTCTTCGCATGTACTTATCGGTTTCTTGGATTTTGTTTTGTGCACGGTACAAAAACTTTCTTCCGAATGCTCGAGTTTTCAGTATGGGCAGTAAATTATCGTGCCATGGCTCAATGTTTTGTTTTGTGCCACAGAAATCAATGCATGCGCATGTAACATTTGTCCATTGGCTGTCACTTTGAATTGGTTCCACACGCCATTCCTTGTATATCTCCTCTGACAAATGCGTTTGACTTTTTTCGCGTCCATTGCATCGTTATGAGAGTTAATCATAAATTGATATCGATTCGATTGGTCGTTCGCGCTGGTCCGTATATCGATAAAGCGCCGTAATTGAATCAATATCAATGTCGACGCGTATTAAAAGTAATCAATCATTGAGCACGTGTGTGTTTGATTGGTATGAAGTCGGACGACGGAGATGAGGCCGGAATGTTAGTTTAATTGATGCCAGCCCGTGAAATCGAGACCAAGATTGTAAAACTGATTTCCGTTCCAAAAACCATCGGCCATCGGACTGTAAATCAAGTGCTAAAACTAGAATGAATTTCATGTCATGCCTTGATTGAAGTATTACCATGTTCCATTCGTTGGGATTTTTATGCAATTGGCGCGTTTGAAGGTAGCGAAATCAAATCAAATGTCCATCTAGCATAACTGATGCTTTGATTTATCGGCAAAATGTGCTATCGCTCGAATCAATCTGCCATTAGCGTCAGCTCTGCCTCTATGATTAAAATCAGTAAAACCATCAGAATTATTCAAAACACTGTGTAATCGAATGCGATATTTATGAAACGGGCGCGCGATATGCAATTGTCTATTCATGTCATTTCACAACATTTGCATGCATTGTTCCATAAATAGGTTTGCTACGCATATATTAAAATCATTACATGATTCTTGCCCGTTAAATCAAAGTGAATCGAGAGATCGAGAGCGAGAGATGATGCGATAATTTTATGCAAATTTGAAACTGGTTTTCATTCATATGCGTGCATACTGCGTATGAGCTTGTACACATTTATTCGAAAAATCACCGTAAAACCACTGTGAAGGAGGTAATTCTGTACCTTCGTTAATGTTGCAATCGATGCGAAATGAACACAGGATGTCGAGAGTCTTGCCAACTACGCAATTTACGTAAATTTTGTTTTTTTATTTGGGCTTGCGTTTCAAATATCGTCTGAAGCGACGATGATTCACAGGAAACACGAAACCGGATTTAAAGAGTTTTAGTCTTGCTTAACGGATTTCACATGTATGTGTTTAATCAAATTTAAAAACGAAATAGTTTGCATCCTAAAATGTTTGTCGTCTCAAGTTTTTTCCCATTCACCGTTGAACATACCGTTTCGGCAATCATAGCTTCCGTTGTTGTTGCTGTTGTTGGTGAACAGGCGATAGCAATTTTTAATTGAATTTGTCTCATGTGCACACGCGCACATACATTTTGTTTATATTTATTCAGCTAACGATTCAGCAAAATGGGATCATTTGCGTGCAATACACAAAAATACACATAACACCATATAATCTCTAAATGAATCGAATTGACTGCAAATCCCTTGAAAACAATGGCCCGCCCTGAATCATATCCAACTCTAAAACATCATTTGCATGCATTCAATTCGTTCTCTCTATTCACGCATGTGATTGAGAGCATTGCAAATTGAATTTGCAAACAAATATTTGACAACGGCCATTGTTTAATGAATTTGATTGTTGCAAAAGAGACGATTGAATTAAGGGGCCTCCGTCAGGAGTTTTTTTGTTGTTGTTGTTGTTGAAATTGTATCAAACATTGAAATCCATCTGGTTGTCAATCGAATTATTCAAAATATATACTTACTACGTGTGTGATTCAAAAATGTGATTTATCGCACCAAATGGTGATTTTAATTAAATCCTATCACAATTTTGGCTCCAACACCATTCGAAGGAATATAAATGACATGAAACTTCATCAAAAGGAAACGCCTTAAAACCACGGATAAAATGATGGTTTCAAATGCATGACGTTCCAGTTGATGGCTTTCAAGTTTGAGCTTTTTTTCTGCACTAGACATATATTGTATTTTCCAATTCAATGCATGTGTCAATGGTTCGAAATTTCAAATGACGCTTTCAATCACTGTTAACGCTGTATTGCGAACGATTACTGACAACATTCATACATGGATTTAATGTGTGACACATGCGGTACGGTGCGGCTTTGTCATTTCAAACGGAATGCTGATGAATAGATAGTACGTACAAATGATAGCGATGTCGTTCCGCAGGCGATTCAAATAGAACCGAAACCGCAAATAATTAAATAATCGGCCGAAACCGATGATGTTACCATGTTGACAACAGCACATTATTTGAATAGCTATTCTATAGAATCATGCACACACAGTTGTTAATATCCCGAGAATGTGTGCGAAACAATGATAACATTGTTGAACATTTCCAAACCGAAATATTCCCATTTCGCAGCAATTTCATTTGGTACTAAATTACAAGCAAGAATTTTATGAGCAACCATTTTTAATAATTACAAAATTCCATTTTCATACCATGAACATGGTGTAATCAACATTGGGCACATTACAAAAGGGTTCTTGACTAAATATTTTCACCATTTTTCATAGTTTTGAGTAGAAACTAAATTCCACTCTATCTAACTCTGAAAACTAGCTAAAGCTATTTATAAAACTGGAAGAAAAATCGTGTTTTAACAGAAATGGACCGTTGGAATGTGAACCAAAAAAAATCGATTGTGAACGCTTCTATCTAGCTCAATAGCAAAAATGTAATAAAAATCCTAGATTTGTTATGTTATTACTAAAACTTACCCCTTCTTCTTTGCCTTGCAGCAAGTGAACAGCGCCAGCCCGTTGGATGCCCGGCAAAAACCATACCTGATGCGTTAATAGCAAACGTTCGTATAGACCTAAATCACATGGTGGACTTGTTGAATCTCCAGAGGCTTCACTCGACGATGTTTCACCCTCAGCTAAAATGCCGCCATCTGAACTTGACACCAGCGATGCACGTGACTAGAAATCACAACAAAAAAAAGAGATGCCATAGAGAATCGCAAAACCATTAGAATTTTTATGATATATATGATGAAATGATGTAATATGCTGCTATTTGGGCATTTTGTAAATGAGAAAAAATGACATGAACAGCTTGAACCAAATTTGATTAGCTTTGTGTGTGTGTGCGTGTGTCGGATGTGAGTGAGTTGGCATTACGTCGCTTATGTACAGCTATGTGAAGCGAGCTAACGAAATTTTTGTTAAAATGATAAAGAGTGTATGTGTAAAAGAGTCTCTTGAGGGTAAAATGGCCCTTTCAGAATTTGTTAACCATCCATTCCGTTGCACCTCTGACAGTGCTCTTTGTTGCTTTTATTAATTAAAAGAATTTTCCTTGTTCCCAGAAATGACATGCAAATACTTTTGATCTATTTTTTTCTCGTCATTCATGTTGTTTCGTGTCATTCCCTTAGAATTCAAAGAGCACGAAAATTAAATAGATTTTTTTTTTCAGTCGAGTCTCTAAAACCGGAGGAGATGTCTGATAAAAGTGCTGAACATGCGACACAAAAACAGAAAAATCTTTGTTAATTAAAGTGATGTGCTCACACAGCACAACAACCGAGGGGTGGAATGAAAAAAAAAAAATGAACAAAGTTTAAATATAACAATGAACACGAACTTCTAACTTTTTTTTCGCTCTCACTCGGTTCACTTGGCATTCCGCTACAAAAACAACAACATACAACTCGAGACTTCTTTTCATTATATTTCATATTTGTTTGTTTGCATTTTGGTCGAGCACAGCAATGGCTTTTATCGATTCGTTTGCTTTTTCAATTTTCCAAAGAACAGGGAAGAGAGAACTTTATTGAAAATAAAAATAAAAGACCAAGTCGCAATAAGCATTGAACGTGGATTATAAAAATCACGTTCATACTCAAGAGAGGAAATAACATCATTGAAACTTTTTATTATCACTGTTTCCTGAGTGAGCTTTGGAATTTTCAACGCATTCGAAATGCTTTTTCGTCCATCACATGAGTATAATAATCGTCTGGCCATTTTCGCCATAGTGAAGACTATCTCAATGCAACCTCAATCGCTTTTGTCTTCCTTTGTGATTGCTGCTGGTTTTTACTTTGTGGAACATTAATTTTGGTTCGAGCAAAGAACGCCGAAAGAACAAACACATTCTTTGGATATTTTCAAACAACTATTTCCGTGTTCACAAATATACAATAGAAACCAATGAGGGAAAACGGATTCTTTTTAAGTTCGGTCGGTCGGTCGGTCGGTCTGTTTGCGTTGAAAGGCCATTTTTCTTTTGGAACAACAAGAAAAAACATTTACTCGGTTAACGCTTTGATTTATTGCGTAAATATGAAACTTTGTTTTCCGAATACATCACAGAACATTCGATGAGGCAAAAAGACATTCAAACTACGAAACGAACCAGTGATTTATTAATACGGTAATATCCATACGACAAATGATCAATGTCGGTTTCAAAGTGTTTTTCTTCGAGGAATTCGGGTGAAACTGTTGATAAGGAAAAGAATTGGAAATTGTCATATTTTGCAGTTCTTGAATAATATAATTCATTATCCATAAAAAAAGAAGCAAAATATTTTGAAAACTTATTAAATTTTCAAGACAAATCACAGTTGACATCAAGAGATCAGCACATTAGCAACTATTTCCACTGTGACGTTATTCAAACGCATGAGCGACGAGTTCAATAATTGGATTTGTGTAGATATGATTGGAAAAGAAGTTGAATTTTGCATAACAAATTTTTGCGTCACGATATTTCCGGAATTGTCAAATCCCTTGGAATATTTCGTAATCTACTAAATTCACAAGACAAACAACAGAGCATTATGGCCAGCAAAGATATGGCTTTTTTTCCTCTATTTCGATTGTCAATCAGTATTTGGGGCAGAATAAATTCTTCGAAAGCAAAAAAGTCAACAGCCAAATCTTCACGAATAAGAACCATTCATACTGGCCTTATCATAGTTCTTTTTTTTTTCTTGTGACAAGCGTCTTGTCAACGTTGCGACGGAAGAATATCGCCTTAAATTCGATAACGATAAAATCAAACATTGATTTGTCGCCTTCATTCAATAAATTGCATTAGAAATGCTAGACGCACTGAGACGATCAAAATTATTGAATGCCGGAGAAACTTTTTCAATATTTGGATTTAAGCGCGACGGATCAACGCATTCGTCATCGAACATCTGTGCTATTTCGATGTGTTATTGGTATTCATTTCGGTGTGTGCGTTTCATTTTTTTTTTCGGCATGTATTTGGGCTGTCGATTTTTATTTGGCATCAATTGCACGTAGTGAATATTAAATTTGATTGTCTCATTGGTGGCTGGCGGCATTTTGTTTGCGCCTCGACGCAAAAAAGGAAGAAAAAGATACAACAGTCTATAGCCGAAGGGAGATTCGGTCAACATCCTGATCAGCCTGGGCTGATGAACCGATGTATAGATAAATGTGATTTTTGGCGCCCAACCATACGAGTCAAGAGACATTCCGTCGTATAAATCATCACACCAGCGACCGATTTGCTTTCGCTCTCCTGCACATCCGAAACGCAGACGGAAATCAAAATCAATTTTATCACACGCATCGCAAATCAATTGTATATTTCAAACAATTCATGTTTTGTCGCCACGCGGCCAGTGATTTTCGTTTTGATTTTTTTTCCATCGTGATTTGCATAAGGAACTGTGTTGTTGGGTAAACTTTTTACAAATGACCGTTTTATTTAGGCATTTGTCGACATTTAAAATCGGCAAATAAAAGTGGCATCGCGTGCCATCTTTTCATTTGTTCAAACCCGCACGGCATTTACGTTTTTTTGTTGCTCGATGATAGAGAGTACGAGTTTCCGTTTTCGCTTTGCTTCTTCATCGAACCGATTTGTTGCTTGGTGTATCGTTCAATGCGACCAATGTTGTTGCTTGGTGAAATACATTCAACAAACATCGTCGATGATTCGTTTTCTCCTTCGTTTTAATCTTGTGTAAACATTGAGTGGTACGGTTGTTGTCGGCAGATTTGGGGCGGTTTTATATTGTGAAAAGCCGACTGACATTCAGTCTTTCGTTTGGGATGCGTATGCGATAACATGAATATAAATGATGCCCCATGAGCAAATAAATGAGCAAATGTTTCGATAAACTCTCTCTCTCGCTCTCACTTTCCTCTTGGTTGAAAAAAGCCGATTGTTTTACGTAAATGTGTGAGCATCTGCAAACTTTATCTCGGAGAGGAAACATGAGCTTTGTAAATCGCTGTCTAAACACCATTTCCATGTTTTTCAGCGCAACTCCATTATTCATCACACGCGATTATCAACTTCAAACGCATAGACACTCACATTCTCATTTTCTCGCACAAAATGCCGTCGTGCTCGCTTAGATAGACATAGAGAAACAATTTTCTTTGCTTCACGAAACAGTGTCTGTCATTTAGCATTTTCACTGTGTTTCACTTTTCATCAGTCGTTTTCGCGGCAGTTGACTTAGTGTCTGCACAATTTTTGCAATATATGAGAAATGGGCGACATTAAGTTGGCAGCTGATGCACGAGACGTACTTATGAGAAAACATACGGAGCAAATTGAAAAAAGAAACGTAATTTTGCGGTCGGATGTACAGTTCTTTGTTTTTCTGCTCGTGTTTACAAAGAAGAAAAATGACTCGTGATGGTGGTTTTTCTCTGCAACATAATGTTCCACAAACCAGTCACTTTTGCCGATTGAGAAGAGTTTGTCGAAATGTAAAAAATGGCTCGAAGTTTGTGTCAGTTCAAAAAAAACATTTGGCACATATAGAAAATAGTTCATTTGTTATTATGTCGTCTTAACTTTAAAGTGACTCTGTTTATTACTTTACTTGATTGGCATTTGTTCTCGGAGTTTCTGGAATTGATGGTTCTTGTCATTTCGAAGAAGACTCGTTGCGTTACTCAGTTTTTCATACAGCTACTATCTCGTTATTTGTATAGTATGTTTTCCGAATATTATAATATTTTGAGTGCATTCAACATGAAAATTAAATATTGCACATGGTTTTATTTCCATGCGAATTCAATTACATCAACAAATTCAATTCTTTTTGTCATTTATTGATCGGATTATATAGCGAAAATTTCATATTCATACCGGAATTATGAGTGGTAATGCTCATTTCAAAGTGCTGCTCTTAATAATTCATATGAATATGATGCATGTGGAATCTTTTAAAGCGATTAAAATTATAATTCAAAAGCTTGATATGAAATTCTCTCAATGTTCTGACGATTACACCATTCGAAGGACGGATGGGTTAATGTGGTATTGATGTGGATTAATTGCATAAATTATGTTGAGTCTTTTTAAATGTTGGGCCATGAATATGATAATAATGAGGAAAACCGCCCATTTCCGTTGACTTTGGGTAGCATAATGAGAATCTGATGATGAATTTTGAGTGGCATATGAGTCTCTAGTTCACGAAATGATCGAATGTACGAAGCGTAGCATTAGCAATTTGTTTACATCAAATGGAAGCTTTTCACAAGCATAAACAGATGTTTTATCCGTTCCGTACGTGTCACCGTATCGAGCGGGTTTGTGTATGGTGTATGCTTATTAAATTTTTCAAAGGATTTCCACCCTTCTCCACATTAGACAAATGCCGAACGCTTCTGTTTTGATTAAAACACCTTCCAGAGTCACTAATGCATAAGACACATCAATTCATTTTTAGCCTAACAAACACACACACACCCTCCACCCTCCACCCAAATTACTTTTCATTATTATGTGTGCGTTGGGCTTGCGAATGGTAAAAAGGTATTAAGGCTTGAAAAGCATCAAATTTGCGGATTATAAAATGGTGCTCAAAAGTCGCATTCACTTTTCATTCCCATTTCATCGTGCCTTTATATTCACAAATCGACGAGCAGAGCAACAACGAAAAAAATTCACCACATTTGTAAATGTTTTTTTTTTTCCTTCGATAAAATCGGCTTAAATATTTTCTGAAGGGATTATTTTGCAACAAATGTGTTTTAACACTTTGGCTTTAAATTACGTAGAAAAAAGCGAATTTTGTTTTTGTGGAGAAGAAAACAAACACATAGTCTGGGATTTTGTTGTGTGGCTTCTGGCATGCGACAAAAACTAGTCGGGACTGCAACATTCAACATCGAGTCAATATGTGTAGATTATTGTCATTGTTCAGCCACAAGAAACGGGTTTAGCGTCATCACAAGCAGGTGAATGTGAAGCAAAAACTTCTGTGTGTGCCAGTTGGAATGTCGCACTGATTTCCATTTGAATAGCAATCTGTTCATCACAAATTGACCGAGACTACAACCGAAATTGTCTCGAGTCTAATGAGCTCTGGGTGAAGTCAAAGTTGTGAACTTTTACATTATCAAATTTGCACAACAATTTGTTTTCGGAATCACAATGTCAAAACAATTATTCGTTGTAGCTTTGAACTCGGTAGAAAAATAAAACTTTTCAAATTTCGGCCATGTGGGAATTTCAATCCACTCTCAACTCTTTCTGACGCTTGTTTTTTCTCATCTTCTTTTCACTGACCCTTTTGTTTACTAACTTCATTTTTGCATCGAACCCGACAAAAGGTGAACTTTGATAGAACAATTTGATTTGATTTTTGTTGCGTAACAAAAACCGATGGGAGCATCCTCTCGTTGGATGAAATCAGAGGCAATTCGATTCGTAAAATGGAAGAAGTTTTGAGATGGGCAATGGAGAAAAAAAAAGTTGAATATCGGCTATAAATCAATCAAAGAGGAGAGAGCATAAAATTGTCGGTTCATTGCATCCATTACTTCATTGATCGAATTTATTTTATGTGATTTTAAGAACGAACACTCCTTCAAACCTTGCAATTTGAGCCGTTCAAAATTATTGAAGTCGATTTTATCGGAAACGTTTTGCATCGACGAGAAGAGGAAACCATTCACTGTGTAATCGCACCAGTATCAAGATAGAATGAACGAGGAGCTCAAAATACCGCATTCGAAATACAGTAGCACAATTTTTACTGTGAAATTATAGCATAGCCGATTGTATCGTAATAAAAGAAACGAAGTGGTTCGTTAAAAGAGAAACGCACGCCTTCAGCAAATGTTGAAGCTAGAAAAAAAGAGCAGCCAGCACCACTTTTATTAAATCTAATAAATTCAATTTTATTAGTTTTCTTCAGCGCTTTTCTAGTTTCCGCTATCATTCTCGATACTTTATTCCCTAGCTCTCAGTTTTCAGTGAAAAATGTACACATATATATGGTAATGCAAATACGTTTGAAGTACACATAAAATAGGCTAGCGTAACTTGACTCCAAGCTCGAGTTCAACTGGAGATGAATGGCAACGAGTGTAAAATAATTGACGAAGCATTCTCGCTTTAGAAAAGAGCACACAAACACACAAATGGTTTCGTTTTGAGTTGATTGCAGTGAAGTGTTATGTATATAAATTGTTGCAAGTAAGCGAAGGTAACCGACTTAGGTACAAACATTCACGTCTTCTTATTGGATTGAATAGATTCTTATTGGATTTTAAAGTGTGATGCTTTTTCCAATTTGTGAATACTTTAATTTCGTTCAGGTGATTGCCCAAACTTATGAGTGGAAAATCGCATAAACCGCAACGAGACGCAACGCAAAATGTCGTTAGCAATGTTTACAGCATTGTGGCGAGGCAATAAGGATAATAATAATAATAATTGAATTTCAATCAAATTAGGGAACAAAGAAAATTCTTTCAAGCGTTATTTATGTAGATGCTGTAGAAAAATATGTGTGTCCCGTGCGCCCTTCGTTGTATGGTGTTAATGCCAAAGGCTTTGCCATTTTCAATAAATTCAAATTAAATTTACTCAGATTGTTAAGTACCTGACTCAAGTCATCGGCTGACACTTCCCGTGTGCCCGGCAACAACGTGTGTAGCTCATCGTCAACCAGCCCATTTCCATCTTCCGAATCAACGGATCCAAGTGGCATGCGATGCGGTCGCAAAAAATGTGGCGCATCAGTCCTGCAATGAAAAAGAAAACAACAATAGATAAATAACAACAATTCGACCAAATTTAAAAGAATTGGAGACGCAAATTTTATCATTTTCTTAAACAGTAATTATTTTAATGGTTCGATGCTTGCGGCATCAAACGACAATGCGATCTATACATTTCACCTTGAGCATTTGGTTATTTGATACATTCAGTGGGACCATGATTGCTAGGCCAATTGAGAGATATTTCTTCAACAATACACACGACACTGTCATTAAAGTAGTAAATAATTTTTTTTCTTTTATTTTTCAAATCGTCTCATTCATTCACTTTTTCAGTAGGTGGAAGTTTCGTCGCCAGTGAAAACCGAAATTGGAACGAGATTTTTAAGCTATTGAAAATATGTAAAATCTAGTGGTATTTCGTTCCATAAACTGAATGTGGGCACAGAAGAATAAGTGCACATGGGTGTAGTTGAAACACGCCACAATAAATGAACCAAAACAAAACAACGCTAACTATTAGGGCGGAAAAATCGTTAATTTTGAAGCGACAAACGCTGGTGTACACAGAAAGAGAGCGCTGCCAGCAAAAACTGAATGTTTAATTATCTTGCAAACGCAAACAATCAGAATTTGCAATAGAACAAAAAACGGAAATGCTTTTTATGTTTGCTCATGGTTTTTTTTAGTGTAGTATTTTTTGTTGTGTACAAATTATGTTTTTCCTTCTCCAGAGAGATAATTTGTGAAGTCGCCATTTGAATGAAGAACACTGATCCGTTTCATTATTACTCCGAACCGACTCTCTCTATATAGATAAGAGATGTTGTTTAGTACGTTAATGCTGCTGCTGTACGAGAGATACGATCGCTTCTTTTGTCTTAGCATGTGCTAGCATTTGATACGGAAAACATCTCTCGTAAATTTTTGCGAAAACAGCGGCACAAATATTTTATTCAAGCGTTGTCATGGCTACCCGACGTCCTCCTCATACACCAAGCTTTTGTTTTCCATCAAAATGAGTGCGTCGTTTAGTTGCCGCAGTTTGTTTAATTCTTCGTCTTCCTGTCGTGTGCTGTGCTCATATTTTTCTTTCCTTTTTTCACTGTTCGAGGAATCAGCGGCGAATGCTTGGCATGCCAAACCGATTAGTGCACACAACCGTTGATGATGATTTTATCTGTATTGTTGCTTTGCTAAAACGTCAAAATAACTTTAGCGACTTCTTGTTAGCACGCTATTCGAGGCTTGCAAACTCGTCGCTCAACATTGACGTTTGTTTATCATGCAGAAAAAAAACGCGAACGGAGAGTACACTTGACGTTTGCAACACACACAGTATATACGTACAGTGCTTCAATGGCACAACCGATCGAAAATAAATATTCTGTGTTCCGTAGTTTGCAATCAAAATCAATGTCGCAGCGATAACCGCTGACGTGCTCCTCTTTCATTGACATCAACAATTGACAATGAAATATTCGATTCTAAACACTTGATCGTCGACAACAATTTATTTGAGTATCGCTTTTTGAGTGATTACTTCCCGTTTATATTCGATGATTGTTTTTTTTCGATTTCGCTATACGATTTCCATCTCATGAAACCTGTGATTTTCGTACGAATAACAAAAATAACTTTCATTATTATTGATATCTTACAAGCCATTCGATTTCTCTAATGTTTTTTTTTCACTGTTCATAAGTACGAACCGTCGAAACATATCGTTTAAAAGTGGCTTTGTTTTGGTTTAGTTCAGCTGTTTGCCGCTCTGATACACACGAAGTGATGATTTTGAAAAAGAAAACTCTAACTACAACGCCACACACGTTCAATGCTACCTTTTTTCTACTTTATCTTTGGCATAATTAGAGTAAATTTCTTCATGAAATTTTAACAGAAAAACATGAGCAGAGAAAAAACTGATGCTGAACACTTTCTAACCGAAATTAATCGTCTTGGTTTTCAGCCAATTAGCGTCAACAATTTCCGATATGTCAATTTAACCGTCTGGGTCGAGTGCATGAATTTTTGATTTGCATGATGCGAATAGCATTACACGGTGTAAGGACTGCACTGTCTGAGCCGAGATGTCGTTATATAAACTCATTGGTGGAGAATGCAACTGCTGAAACGATTAGAATATTGCCTATTGAAAATGGGTTCGGTTTGGTGTGATATGTGTAATTGAATGCGGTTCACATATCCAGCGGTTGCGGTCGATGATGATTTTACGTTCTAATTGAAATTCGGTTTTCGGAGCGATTCAACTGCATTATGGAACGTCCTCGAAATGCAGAAAACTGGTATTAATATGAGTCGTGTCAACATCAAAGTGCATTAGTGTCACCGCACGTTTGTTCTGTTCGGTTCAATAAACCGAATTGATTTCGACATCGAACAATTCAAAGCTTCCTATCGAATCGATGAAATAATATTCCATAAATAATCGACGAGTGCAATTCAAAATTCCATCTCTCTGGCATTTATTTTAAATTGAAATTCGGTTCAATATTCAGGAGACGAAAAAGAAAATAATCGATCGAATGACGCTGACAATTTTCACTTTCACTTTGAGTAAACATCATTTAAGAGTTGCTTGGTGTTTTTCTTTTTCTCGCTCTTTGTAAAACATATTCTCGGTTCTTTTCACATTTTACAAAATTGACATTCAGAGCCATTTCATTTTTTTCCATGACTAATGGAACGGACGGGGAAGCGAACGTGTTTCAGAAGAATATTTTCTCTGTAAGAGTCTGGTATGAATGTGAATTTTCCATTAAGCGTGCGTTTCTCTCTGTTTTTCCATTTCACTGCTAAAGTGACATCGTTGGCTTTGCGTCATGGCAGATTTTTCCAAACATATTTCATTTGTCGCAAGTTCAAAGTTCTACAATCCATCCCAAAGTGATGCTACTCATATGTCTCGAGCTTATTCATGTACATATGCTCTCATATATACTCTGTCGACTCATATATATGTATTAGAGCAAATAGTCCTATAGTCGTTGATTCTCGACAATCTTCTGTCAGTTCACTTCTTCTTTTCGGCTGATGGAAAATGCAAAAATTAAGTGCAACTTAGTTATGGACAGTCACTTAATATATTTTCCCGAAAACGGACTAAAAACAAGATTGTGTGACTGTGAAAAAATCTCATTAAAGCGTTTTTGCAATGGAGACAGATGTTCAGCGGGGTGTAAAATGTGATTTCAAGCCGTACACCGTACTACAAATGGTTTAAGTTGAGATACACTTTTAACAAAATTCCAGTTATGTTCTCTATTTCATTTGGATGATTCATTAAATATTAAATTGCTTGCAGCTACTGTCAGCTCAACAGCCGATTCATGAGAGTGCAAGCGAGCACATTTGTAAAGATTCTTCTTTTTTTTCAATGCGAAACGAGCGCAATTTGTAATTTTAATACTCAGGCATTTTCGTTCAGTGAATGATAATGGTAAAAATAAAATTAAAGATAAAAATATCTATATATATCGTTGGGTTGGGATTGCATTCGATGCAACTAAGCACATCAAAACCGTTATCTCGATTCGTTTCAGCTTCCATAAACAATAGAAATTGCTGCAATTCAACTGCATCGCAGCAGCACAAACGTATGTGTAAATAACAATAAATTGAATTGTAGTGAATTCAGAGAATAGAGAGAGAGAGAGAGAGAGAGAGAGAGAGAGGAGAATGCTTGGCAGAAAAAAACCGCGAGCAAATTTGAAGCGTTATGGTAATCCATATCAAAGCCAACGCCTGCCATTGATACATCAGCTCGAATGCAGCAACGTTTTTCCATTTTGAATGGATTCGAATTAAAGAATATGGCATAAAAAAAGACCCGGCAATTGGCAGCAAATAAATTGTGTGGAATGCAATGAACTCTATCCACTCTATCCCGGAGCACTGTTCAATTTCAGCATTTTTCGACAGCCAATCTGCTGTTTTTCGACCGTCAAACCGTCGGGAATTCGATTTTCCAACACAAAAACGAGCAATCGAAAAATCGTGAAAATTATTTTCGATTTTGTGTTACTGTAAAATGACGGGTTCGAATGTCTCGAAATTCCCCATCGAAACGGTATTGATGCTTTAAAATAGCATCAGCGAATAGAATAAAACATAAAACACAATAAATATCGAATGAAATTGTACACCTGACAAACGACTCACTTTATTCTTCCACTTTGAAGATACAAATAGCACACATCGAAAAATATGTGCGTTGGATGTGAAAGATTCAATGTCGCTGTTACATAGCGAAATATTGTTGATGTAATTGCGGTGGTATAGTACTTGCCATCATTTTGAAAATACTAAACGCTGTGTGTAAGAGCACACATGTGAAATTTCTCAATTACAGCCATGCACGATGATTACATTTTGCTCATCGTCATCGTCGTTGTGTTTGAGCTCATCGGATTACGTCTTTTGCTCTGCTGAAGTGCTCAGAGTATAGTATTTCTTTTTTAGCCGCTTTTGTTGCAATGATGGAGAAAAAAATATAAACCACGAACCAAGTGAATTAAATGAGATTATATTCACTATGGAAGCGGCTATAAGAACAAAATTCATCTCTGTTTTTATTTGTTTTTTGCTTCAAGTCGACAAGCAAGTTTCTTTGGCTTTTTCTGCATTCTTTTGTGATTCTTAATCGCACCGAAAAGCACTTGTCTCAAAGTTCCAAGTTCGTCCGTGTGCTGTGAATGGAACATTGTTTAGAAACAAATGGATAACCATGTATCACTCCGTTTTTTCGCTCTCGTCGGTGTTCGTTGTTTTTTTTTTATCAGAGTGAGTGTTTTTTCTTTGCTAAAAGGAGGATCACGTTGGAGTACATGGAGCGTCGATCTTTTTGTTATCACCATGTCAACGTGAGTAATTACATATTGGGAGAAACCCATAAATGCTTCGTTTACACCAACTTCTCGAGTTCTTTGGATCAAATCTTTATTCTTTCGAAACTTTATTCAACGCTTTCATTCGAATTCTTCTGTCTGATGTTGAGAGTGATT